AAAAAAAAAAAAAAAAGAGGTGGCATGTTATGGGGAGGCTCTGCTGATTTGGGATTAAGCTAATGAAATGCTGCTTCAGCAACAGCTGAACCTGTCACTTTGGCTGCTGTGGTGCTGAAGTTCCACAACAGCAATAACAGGAGTCTCCTTATTCCAACCCAAATGAGAGTCACAGCTATGTTTAGCTGAAAGATGCAAGAACACTGGAAAGAGTGTGTCCTAGACTCTGCCTCTAGGAGTTGATTCATCTGAGGCTTTTTAAAACCCTCTCTCAGTCCAGAGATTTTTCCAGAAGTACAGAGCAGACTCAGTGCTGGTACTTTCTAATTTCTAAAAATTACCCCCCAAAATATTTTACATTTTTTTTAGTGTTGTTTTCATATAGAAAAGATTCTTGTAGTGACAATAGGGAGGTTGTGTGACTACCAGTGGAAAAGAGACCTTTCTAACACTCTGGTGAGTTGCCATGGTCTAACAAGTTATATCAGCTGACCTGTTGTAGTTGTTTAGCCCATACTTCTAACCTGCAGTAAATACAAGAAAATAACATTTTAATTTTAGCATTCATTGAGAGACTTCATGACACCACAGACTTATGAGCCTTACCTCAGAAGTAAGGTATGTAAACTGACTGTTCGCATTGCTGCCGTCAGCCTGGCTGGTCTCACAGTATGCTGTCCGATGCAGATCCAAGCTAAGTTTGTGCAGCTTCTGTTATAGGGCTTTCTTCATTCCCCAAAGGGTACTCTGCAGCTAAATAAAAACTGAGGTCAGGAGAGTTGTCCTTATATTGAAACCAGAGGCTATTATTTTTAAAACCCCAGGCTAAAGATATTCACTTACTATTTTATGACATGCACCCCAGGAGAAGGTTTCTCTTCCTGTACCAGCACAAAGATGGACAAAATGTATTTTCTGCTTTGAAAAGCTATTAAACTTTTGTCCTCTTGACTAAACTTGCCCTAAGAGCGACAGATTAAAAAGCAAATAAGAACACAGCAAACTATCCCCTTAGTGTTTCACAGCATGGGGTCTAGAAGAGAAAACTTGGGGTCAGCATTGAAGACTGTCCTTAGCTGGGTTCAGCCTGTCACTTGGGCAGTTTTACAGCTGACTTTCATTGGCTTCTCCTTCTCTCCCAGCTCTACATGTTGCTTCACAACCGTGGCATCGATTCCTGCTCTTCACACTACTCAATGGGGGCCAGAAGTCCTTTCTGCAGCCAGAAATTCTCAGGCTGATGACTTTGGTGAGCAGGAGAAGGGCAAACTGTTACCCATTTTTCCCAGTATGTGGGTCAGTTATTGGAACTTAACCTGCTACACACACCCAATCTCAGATACTGCCGTGGCTTTGTCTGGCACTATATTTGTGACCTATATTAATAATGATACTTTCAAGTGAACTTCCCTTCCACACCCTGCAGAAACTGACTGCTGTTAGTGAGTACGTCCTGTTCTTCTGGTGTTTGTAGCATTTATTTATAACATCTAGGACCCCTGGGGGGAGAGAGGAAACCTGCAGAGAACATACAACTGCTGTTACCAGTCAGGGAGCAAGCTGACTGCTTGGCATCACAGCTTGTCTCCCCATCTTCAACCTTACAGACATGACTTTTCAAGGCAGGGAGTTAGCACAATATACTACCTTGCTGTATGTGGGGCCTGTGGGCTAGAGGGGTAATGTGGTCCTACCCAGCAGAAATACTGAAGATAAAGCCCTCTTGGCAGTGGATGAGAGGAAGGGACTATTAGTGTGAACCTTCCTCCTCCAAATACAAGAGAGGTCTGTGAGTATTTGCTGTTTTTATTTCAGTTTTAAAAGGTTATTTGATTTATTTTAGTTCCTTCCCAATCTAAACCAAAATAAGTCTGGCTATAAATCAGAGCACTGTCAACACAGATACTTGCACTGGTTCTATTAGAGGTGGTATTAAAAATCAGGCCTGTGGTTAGGGTGCTGCAGCATCCCATTACATAGAAGAGGTCTTTGCAGGCGATGAGTCACTGTTGCAGTCTGTGGGTCTTTCGCTATTTAATGCCTCTGTTTTTTCCTTTGTTCAAGTTTGTGAGATATCAGAGCAGCAATATTATTTCTCAAAAAGAAATTAGCCAGATTCTTCAGGAGGCAGCAGAAGCCAACTTAGCAGAGCTGCCTGAGGCCACATCTTATGCTCTTCACCTCTTCCTTTGTCAGGTAAAAAAGCAGTGACTGCCTAGGAAAATTGGAAGGGAATCCCTAGGCATTTGCTTTAGCCTTTGATGGGGAGCTATAAACTTCCTTTTGAGGAGGCTGTAGTAAGATGAAGAGGAATTCTGCAGGTGCTACCTTAGCCTACTGCCCTCAGGGGTGTACACTGGAATCAGAAAGGGAGTGATGCCAGCCTAAACTATGCCATCAGATTGGGCGGCCCCTTGATTACCCCCCAGATCAAAGTTTGGAGATTTCATTGCTCTGTGTGGAGATGAGGGAAGGAATATGAAGGAACAAACCCAAGAGTTTCCTGGAACAGTTGATCTAGAAATCATTCTTTCTTCTGACTGCTCAGATTCAGAGCAGTCAATACCAGGTGGAGCCAGTACAGTCAGGGACCATTCAGACCTTGCTGGATCGTCTCCTGGGACAGAGGACCACGTGTGTAAAACATCAGGACATTGTGTATCCTTTGCTGGGCAAGTGGCTTTGATAGGTGATGTGAGTGGTAGGTGTAACAAAGGTTGGAAGGGATACTTAGTCTGCTGTTCCGTGTTGCAGGCAAACAAAATTGAAAAACTCCGAGTGGTTGCTACACTTGACTAACTTTGGGATGAAAGACTTCATCATCTCCTAATCTGAGAAGATGTTTGGGAAATGCAGAGACATTTGGGATAAAAGATGGGTCTCTCTGAAGGGCTTGCATTAATCTATAAAGCAGAAGTAGTCTGATGAAAGGGGAGCAGGTTGGGGAGTCTGACTTCAAAGCAGTAACAGTCTCTGTGAGAGCCCCTGGTGGTCAAGTGGTTAAGGCGAGGCGCTGTCACCGCCGAGGCCCGGGTTCGATTCCCGGTCGGGGCCACTCCCCGGGCAGATGGAGCTCATTTAGCCCTGTAAGGCAATCCATCTACGTCCATCTAGGTCCTGAGGACCTCGCTGCCACCGTCCAAGCTCGCTTGGCCCCAGCAGATGAACCTTAGGATTAAAGGGTGGGCTCAGTTCCGCGCACACTGTGTCTCACCTAAAAAATCCAATGCGCAGGCTGGAAGGTGTAAAGACCTTCCCCGGTTCTTCGTTCGTGAAGACTGGCCATTATAACGATCTCTGTATTGATTTCCCATGAGCAATGAGTTAACTTCTGTCTGCATTCTGCTGGTATGCCCATGAAGCAGTGAAAACCCAAAGATGACTCAGGCACTTTCAAAGTGCAGGGAGCATTTGGGAACCAGTGAGTGGAGTTACCAGATTTTATTCTGCTTGGCCCTAGAGTTGCCCACTGAGAACTGAGTCCTCCTCTTCTCTGGGGATGGAGTCATGGGCCACTCTCAGATTCCCTGTGCAGAAAGCAGGGGCATGGTGCAATATTTGGTTATTTCTCAAACTTTTTTTTGCCTTCCTGTTTTCATCACACTGCATTGCCTTGCCTCAGACATGTAGCAATGATGGAAGTGGCAGTGATTTCCTGTTGGTAGGGGGTCTTCCTCCACCGTGGAACACTGTCATCAGTCATGTGCAGGATGTGCAGTGGGTGAGGTATTTGTTCTGTGAGGAGTAGCTTGTCTTTGTGCTTACCCTCAATCTGATACTACTGCTCTGTTGTGGGACAAGTTGTCCTGGTGGAAACCATCCAGGTAGTCATGAACAGGGAAGACAAAATCCTCTGGTCAAAATCAAACTTTGACATCAGTTTTGTTGAGAAAGAATTTTTCTTTAGAGTTACCTACACTGATGTTTTGCACATATGTTGGGAGTGGGGTTCCATGGCTTGGGGAGCGTTGGTTTAGTAATGAAAACCTCCTGTCAGTGGAATGTCAAATGTGGGAATTCTCATAGCATAGCATGCTGGAGTTCAGCCATGCCTTTCCTTTGGTTTCCACTCATGATACCAATGACAGATGTCTGGGAAACGTAGCAGTGTCCCTCTCACACATTGGCGACTGAAATGAGAAGATGCAGTGTGCAGAGCAGAGAAAAAGACAAGAATGGAGCAGAAGACCCCATCCTGTCATTTATTCCCAGTGAACAGTAGAGAGAGAAGATGGACAAAGGAAGTAATTTGTTGCTCATTTTGAGAAAAAGGTTTGCTGAAACTCATTTATAAAGTTCTGTTGCTGAAACGGCTCAGTTTCCTTCTCTGTGCAGGGTGAGGCTTGGTTGATGCCCTTCAGCTATCAGACTACAGACCTGCCTGCGGAAACGATGCCATACAGGGATGCTATGGAAGAGGTGCTCTGCTCATCCGCCTTGGCTCATGGCTCTGCGGGATGACCCTTTAGCTCTGGACTGGCAGGGGCAGTGGGGGCTCAGCGAAGACCCCGGGGGAAGCAGGATATGCCGCGTGTGCCATGGGGCTGAGTAGACTTCTCCCAGCTCACGAATAACCCCTTCGACTACAGCTCCAACCCGCACTGTCCTGTTGCCTCCACACCCTCTTAAGTGTCCCATTCCCGTCGGGTCTCTAATTAACGGGGTTCCTTCCCTCGCGGAGCCAGGAGAAACCCACCCACAGCGGGAGCGGCTCTGAGGGAGAACCCTCCCAGCGCCGGAGCCCTAAGCCGGGGTAGCCCCGCCGGTGTGGGGCCGGTGCCGGGGCGGGGCGGGGGCTCAGGAAGTGACACGGCGGGGCGGAGCGGGGAAGCGGCGGCGGCAGCGGCACCGGCATGGCAGCGCGGCGGGCGTGAGCGCCGGCCTCGGCTCCCGGCACCCGGCCCGCAGGTGAGGGACAGCCTGTGGGGGCGGCGGGGAGCCTTCCCCGCCCCGGCAGTCACAGCGGGGCCGGAGGGCGCTGCCCGGCCCTGGCAGGGCAGGAGGGAAGGGCGAGAGCAGCTCAGGCACCGTTCCGGGGACACGGCGGGGCGGGGGTGGCCGGGAGCGGTCCCCAGGAGGGCCCTTCTGGGCAGCCGGGGTGGCCGGGGAGCGGCGCGGGCAGTGCGGCCCCGGGGCACTTGGCTGGACCCTGGGTTAAAGGGCTGTGCCCGACAGGTTCTGCGTGCCATCGCCACCCCGGCCCCGCGCTGGAGCGGCGGGAGAAGCCCCGGGGAGCTGCCGTCCTGCCCCGAGCGTTCACATCCCCCGTGTGCCGCCCGCCGCGTCCACTCGACACGGCTCCGGCTGGGTTACCCACAGCGCGGCCGGGGTACTCTCGGCTAATCCCTTTTCAACTCCACTGTCCCTGTGTGATTGCCGTTAGTTTCAGCGGTGCTTGCGGGAGAATCCCCATCTCCCTGTGCCCGCGACCGCCCGAGACCCTCGGGGTGCTGCTGACCCCCTCCGGCAGGACGGGAGGCACGGGGGTGGGCTGGGATGGACCTCGTTCCTGGTGGAAATCATAGCACCTCGCTGGCTTCTGCCGAGGATGAGAAACTCTGTGGTGCATGAGCTCTGAGCTTGGTGGCTGGGGGACTTTGGAGACAAGCAGGTGTGTATGGCCAGTGTTTCGACTGAAGCAGCTGGTCCTGTAAGCCCCATGGGGAACTGTCCGAGCAGAAGTCTCAGCAGCAGTGTTTCACTTCCGAAGTTTTTCATTCAGCTGTGACAAGAGATTAATCCTCATATTGTTGGAGAAGCGGCTCGAGAATGGATTTGTGGGGCGGGGAGTTTTCATTCCTTGTTTTGCCACAGTGTGCTCCTGGCACAGGCAGGCTGCTGATGCTTTTCCCCCTGCAATTCAGTGCCCTGCAGAGGAGAGGTGGGGGGTACTGCAAAAGTCCCTCTTGAGAACTGAAGCGTGGCAGCGTGGCTCTGCCTTGCGAGCTCATTAAGTGAATAAATCTCAGGGATGCTTGGTTCAGATGGGGCTCTTGCAGGAAAATTTATAAAGTCATTAAAAACATTTTAATGGAAAGTACTAACCATCTATAACACGGCATCTGTTGTCACGTTTTTGGAAAAACACATCTAAATTAAGAGGATGGGAGACAGTGAGACAGACTGGTGGGCTTTCTGCTGAAACAGCCAGCTGGCCAGGGCTGTGAGGGAATATTGGTGGAAACTCTTTCCCATCTGTAGCATCAGGCCAGGCCTTGGCTCCCTGGACTGCTCTGGGAGCATGAGGCAGAGCTATCTTTGGCAGGAATCAGTTTAGGGAGGAGTAGAGAGGGAAGAGAGGAGCAGCTCTGTGGTGTTTCCATCTCATCTCATCCCTCAGCAGGTGTGAAGACAGAGTTTGTGGGGAAAGCGTGGAGGAACATCTGCAAGGAGCTTTGGCATCTCTGCACTTACACAGTCTTGTCTGGAGAGGAGGGAATGTCCTCTGCTGTTAAAATGTGGTGAAATGGGCAGGGCAGTGAAGGAAAATAAATTTGAGGTGGTCCCACATGGCATTAGCAGCCTCACATTCCCTGCGGGAGAGGGAAACCACCTTCATTTTTGCTGGGGTGTTTCAGCTCTGATGGACAATGGCAGTAAGTAGCTTCGATGTGAGAATGAGTGCCAGCAGGGAAGGGGTCAGACCAAAAGGTGATGGGCTTCTGGTATGGCATGGTTCTCCAGTCCTCTGCTTCCAACCTTGTCCCATGGCACAGTCGTTAGGGCTGGTGCAGGAGGATTTGTAAAGTCATTGAAAACATTTTCATTGAAAACACTGACCATTTATAGTGCAGCATCTGCTGTCATATCTCTGGAAAAGCCCACCACTGTTCTGAGACTTGGAAACAGCCAGGCAGGCTGGTGGACCTTCTGCTGCAGCAACCAGCTCGTTGGCAACTGCTTTGGCCAAGACCTGCACTTTGCTCTGCTGCTGCCTTGAACAGGGTTTCTTGCAGTTGAACTTCTTCTCCCTTGGAGCAGACATGGAACATCCTCCGGCTACCCAGCTCCCATGTTCGAAGCAGAGGACGTGGTAGCCCCTGCCCTGACTGGGCATGCTGGGACTGCCACAGGCAGCACGGCAGAGCTGTTGTGGGCAGCATTTCTACTGTTTGCCTTCCAGCCTGGTCTGGAGGCCACTGGCTGCCTCCAACATCTCTCTCCAATTTTCCATGACCGTGACAAATAGCCAGGCTGGTCCTTACAGTCGCATGTCCGATCCAAGGGGCAAACAGTAACCCATGTCCCGGGGCAGTCACACTTTGTGCTTTTGAGTTGCTGCCCTTCCTCCTCCCTGAGAGCCTGGGAGGGAGTAAGCAGCTGTGGGGGACTCTACAGAGGGGAGACCCACACCACCTTGCTGAGCCAGGCCTTGGGTCATGTTTTTTGTCAGGGTGAAGCAGTCTTTTGGGAGCCAACCAGGCCAGTGGGTTCAGCAGAACATCTGTTTGCCTGGACCAAAGAATTTTTACTTACAGCCTTGGCTTGTCAGTGTGCTTTGTGGAGTTCAGGATGGCTGTAGTATGGATTAATCCTAGCACCACAGTGGGCAGAGGGGACAGACTCAGATGTGGTGTAGGGGGCTTGTGCTGCCATTCTGACTCTGCATCGTGTCCAAAACATGGGGTGTGTTGCTGAGCCCGCACCACGGCCAGCTATGTCTTCCTTGGTAAAGCTGGTTGTATTTACTCTGTTCTGTTCCCTTCTAGGCGTGCCTTTTACAAAGCAAAACAGCAAAATAGGTTTCTCATGTTTGCCTTACGCTGTTCCCCTTCCCCCACCGGGGTTGTGAAGGTGCTTGGCTCGGCCTTAGCAGGAGGTGCATGGCAGGAGCTGCTGTTGATCTTTGCAAGGCTGGGAGAGCTGCTGGTGCTGCCTGCTTTGCCTCTCTCATGGACCTGGGGTTGAACAAAATGTATTAGTTTTGAAAAAGAACAACAATAAGAAAAAAACAATAAGGGATTTGTTTCTGTTCCACTGTTAGGGCATTGCAGAGAGGAGTTTGGCCAGGCAGGCGAGCGTGGGCTCAGGAGGTCAGTGGGTCAGAGGGTGAGGGCAGCTCTGGTGGCTTTACACATCTGCCTTTACCTCAGGAGCAGGGGGCGGTGTAGGCAACGCCTCTGAAGGAGCTGCTGCCTCTGTAATTGCCAGTGGCTGCTACTCGACTCCATGGAAACCTTGTCCCTGCGGACAGGCCACCACTCGAGTTCTGCTGCCTGGAGTCTGAGCCTCATTCCCAAGGACCATCTCCCCCAGCCTCTCCTCTGTATGTTGGCTATGGATGAGGGACCCTCATAGTCAGGAGCAGCTCTGCCCAACAGCATCTCTGCAGAGCCTCAGACACCACTGCCTGGGGAGGGACTTGTTTGGGGCAAGAGGGAAGTTACCACCAGCTCACCCAACTGTTGCTTTTCGGCATGGGACCTGCAGCTGGCACCAGGCTAGTAGTGAGGGAAAGGGTCGAGGTACCAACACCCCAAGGGGTGAAGGGAGATGACTGAGCATGTCGCACCTGGAGCTTGAAGGAGATGGACTTCAGCCCCTTGGCAATCCTTCTCACCCTCCAGCCATGCTGTTTCAGTTGCTGGGCTGCTCTAACTCACAAACCCAGCAAAAAGCTAGCTGTTATTTTTGGGAGAACAGGCAGGACTTAATTTTTCTTCTGTGTCAGTGCTCAGTCAGATCCCTGGGGGCCCAGCCAACAATGGAGGCAGGTAGAGAGGAGCAGGAAGAAGACCTCACAGGGGAGAGCAGGCTGGCTGCAGCATCACCTTGTGGCTCTGCTCTGGCAACTGTCTCCCTCAAACCCTCATGGGGACAAGGGAGAGGCGGGCAAGGACCCTGATGCCAAGTGCAGTGTGCTGTTGGTCCCAAGTGGTTTGTGTGACTTTTCCTTTTGGTAAGTCTCCTCACTGGTTATTGGTTTTGTTGGTCTGTTTTTTTCCAGGTTGCGGCGGCCAACATGGATTTTTTCTTTGTCTGCCCTTTTCTGCTGGTGCTGCTGCTGTCCCGAGGCAGCTTCGCAGACCTGGAAAAACAGAGGGGAGACTCTGGCTTGGAAATCTGTATCCTCTGCAGCCTGCCCCTCGTGACTCACATACGCGCTCATGCCTACTGAGGCTGGAGGGAGCTCATGTGCAGGGAGAGGGTCAGAGACCACAGAAAAAGCACAGGGAAGTGGAAAAGAGAGAATCCAGAAGCACTGGGAAATTGCTGCTTTGCTGTTCTGTAGAAGGGTTTTAGCCAAGCTCCTGGGTTTGCTAGCGAAGTGCCTGGCTTGGTGCAGGAACAAAAATCATGGTGGCGCCTGGTGTTCTCCTTGTCGTGGTTTTGCTTTGGGTCAATTTTGCCTTCCACCCCCCACATAATTACCACTAGTTGAGAGTAAGTTTTTGCAGACAAAAGAGAGACAGGATTTGGGGTAAAATAGTATATACATTTATTACTTTTCCTTTTTGCTCCATCATGCTGGGCACTGAGCACGTTTCCCAGACTGCTCTTGGAAGTGTCATGGCCAGTTGGGTGGCAGAGTGTGCCTGGGGTCTCAGTGCTTTGGGGTCACCAACTGGGATGGTGAAAGAGGACTTTTGGGCTTGTCGCACTTGGACTCCTCTGTGCCACAGGCATTTACTGCCCATGAAAAGGTGGGCTAATGCAAGCCCTTCTTAGCATGCAGCAGCATCCCCTGGTGAATACACAAAGTATGGAAAGATATTTAGCATGTGGAGACACATATGGGGAAAGTGGGAGTTCATGTTCCTCCTCCAGCCCATCAACCAGAGTGGGGACTGGCAAGTAGAAAGCTCCTCACTTGCTCTCAGCATTGTTAAGGGCCCTGCTGGGGTGTCTGGGCAAGAGGGCTCACTGGAAATCTGTGTTTCATGCTGGCTCAGATGCTGCCCCCCAGCCCTCAGGCACCCCGTGGAGAACTGGGGAGGCTGGGATGGTGCAGAGGGGTGTGGGAGCATGGTGGCAGAGTGCCAGCAGTGCCCTTGACAGCGTTGCAGATAAGAAGCTGTTTGAGGTTAAGCGCAAGGACCAGATGAATGCGCTGAAGAATCTGATCGAGCTCAATGACGTCAACCAGCAGTACAAAATCATTGACATCATGCTCAAGGGACTCTTCAAAGTGAGCCACAGCGCAGGCCGTGCTTGGTGGGGCTGGGAAGGGTGGGCCAAAGTAGGGAGGGCTGGGGGTCCTCCGTGGGGTCAGAGAGAAGAATTGTGTGGCAGGTGAGCTTTAGGACCTGAAGGGAGGATGCTATGGGGCTCCAAAGTGGGGCAGCTGGCGCAGCACCTCCAGGATACAGGGAAGAGCTGGCAGGACAGGGCGGTAACTGAGGGTTCTGACAGGTGCTGGAGGACTCTCGTGCTGTGCTCATTGCTGCTGATGTGCCTCCCGATGGGCCTTTCCCTCAGGATGAGAAGATAAAAGATGGTAGGTCCTCTCTGGTCTTTACCCCCTTCCTTTTTTGAGTGTTCTGGTGCATCACAGACATTCCTCCTGGGACTGGCACTGGGGTAGGTACAAAACCCCTATGTACTCAGACCGTACGTGGGCTCAACCCTATCTGTCAGAGACCTTATTGCTGCCTCTGACCAGTTCGTACTGGGGAACCTACCCATTTTCACTCAGCCTCCCCACCTCCTGGTGGGGACGTAAGTGCCAGTGGGATGAGGCATGCGTGATGATGGTGTTGGTGGCTATCCCCACAGCATACTCCCACGTGGTGGAGAATACTGCCTTCTTTGGGGACGTCGTCCTGCGCTTCCCCAAGATTGTGCACCACTATTTCGACCGCAACTCCAACTGGAACAGCCTCATCCGCTGGGGCATTGGCTTCTGCAACCTGACGGGTGTGTTCGAGCAGGGACCCCAGTCCCAGGTCCTGCGGCTGGTATGGCTCCTGGTCCCCCCTGCCATGTCCCCACTCTGCTGCTTAGGCTGGGGGGTGAGGTTTTTGGGGTAAAAGGAGGGCAGGAGGAGTGTACTCCATGTCTGAGGGCTGTCGTTGGGCTGAGTGATGGGGGAAGAGCATAGAACATAGATAGGACTAGTGGGCAGGAGGGGACACTGGTCAGAGTAAGGGGAGAGTGTGAGTGGGAGGCACCAGTGCCCGACACGATCTCTGCTTTGCTCTGCAGATGGCTCAGGAGCTGGGAATCAGTGAGAAATCGCCCGATTACCGCAATCCCTTTAAAACGGACCACTCGGAGGTAAGACAGCAATGCTGCCAGCTCACCTCGTGGGCTTCCCCATCCCCATTGCAGCTCCAGGCAGCTGGCTGGGGAATGGAACAGGTGTCTTGAGGGGAATAGCCAAAACCCCCTGTCACCGAGGAAACATGCTGAAATACGTTAAATTCACTGGCTGGGCTGTGGTTGACTTTAGGTACCTGGTACCATCTCCTCTCTCCTGTGGCCACCTGCCCTATGATCAAGATCCTGTTTGCCTCATGCCACATTCGTCCTCAAGCCCCCTGGCACCATGAGGCTTCTGCACTGGCTTTGGTGGGGGGTTGTGCCTCTGGGAGGCTTTGGGGGCTCCCCCATCCTGACCCCTTGCTGTCAATCCACAGTTTTTCCCCAGTGCCGACACCTTTCAGAAGGCGCTGAGGGACGAGGAGAAGAGGAGGAAGAAGGAGGAGAAGCGGAAGGAGATCCGCAAGGGCCCGCGCATCTCCCGCTCACAGTCGGAGCTGTAGCGTGCGGGAGCTCGCACCTTGCAGTGGGGGCGACACCACTGGGACACAGAGTGGCTCGCTCCCTCTCGGCAGCCTTGGGCCAGTTCCTGGCAGTCTCTCCGTTTGTGCCGTGGGTTTTGTTTTGTTGCCTTTCCCTTTTGTTCTGTGGAGATTGGGTGGTGATGCTGGCGGGTTGCCCCAGTGGGACTGGAGTGGGGTGTCCCTTCCCCGCAGCTAAAGCACAGACTAAAGGGAAAGCAGTGGGGCCATCCCCTGGGCTGGTTGAGTGCTGCTGCCTGTGGGGAAGTAGGGTGTGGGGGACATGCTGTGCCTGAGCCCCATGAGGAGCCCAGGGATCCCTCACCTCTGCAGCACACTCCACGCTGAATGTGCCTCCTCCAACATGGGTGGGCTGGGGAGTGCATCACACCAAACAGCCTCATGAGCAATGCTGCTTCTCTCAGTTTTGGCTTTCGTTTTGTTAAACTGGTGATCTCATTGGCACTCCCCACCCAGCTGTACCTGGTCTCTGCACAGCTGCTACCTCTGCCAGATCAGCTCTCCCCTCTTCCCGGTGGCTCTCTTACCAAGCAACGTGCGTTTCATTGTTCAGATGTAGTTTAAAAGGCTGACAGCATCTGTTCCTGGCCTGATGGCATCCTGTTCTCCTGTGCAGCCACCGCTGGGCGTTCCCGCAGGGAGGCAAACACACATTGGATTTTTGGAAGGAATTTCAGTACTTGGTCTCTTTGCAGCCAATGGGTGGCTGTAGTGCAAGCTGTGCTGATGCTGAAGGTCCTGGGAAACCATCACCCAGCTGCTGTGACCCTATGCTACACCCTGTGCCCTGCCCCTGCCATCCTCTTCTGCGGGCCTTGTCCGTCCTCTCTAAGTCAGACTCCAAAGCCTCTTTGGCAGGGGGACAGCCAGATAAGGGCATGTGGGGATAGCAGGGCCGAAGCAGGGAAAGAGCCAGCTGGGGAGCAGAGGTGAGAGGCTGGCCCCAGGACCTAGCACAACCACCCTGCTGCTTCCCACCGTCGCTGATCACCTCCCACCAGAGGAAGTTCTTGCAGAGGGACCATCCCCGAGAAGTGAGTGCTCTGTGCCGGGCTGGAAGCATCGCAGCCTTTGGGGAAGGGGAAACGTCCTGAATTTTTAACAGCAAAGCCAAGTCTCTCCAGTGGGGGGGTGGCAATGGGCGTGACTTTATGTTTTTTTTTAATAAAATGGACTTTATTTTATTTTATTTTTATTTTTAAGTAAAAGAAGCCTGGCTTTTGCTCCCGTTCCTGGGGGGAGCGGGTGCGCTCTAGAGCGCGTCGAGGCAGGGAGGTGAGGGTCCGTGGGAGCTGCGGAGGGAAGAACAAACCCCATCCTTTCCCCACCGCCGCCTTCCACCTGGCCTTTGCGCCGTTGAGCCTGGCGGGGAGCCCGGGGTACGAGCCTTGCCCCAGCGGTGTTCCACGTGAGCAGAAGACGAGCAGGCGATGTCATCGCTCCCACGCGCGTCCGCCGTGCCCGGCGGAGCCCCGCCCCCCTCATGAATATTCGGATGAGGGGGCGGGGCGGTCCATGCTAATCGCAGCTGCTGATCGCTGACGCGCCATCACACCACGCGCCGCCGCGCCCGCCCATTGGCCGGCTCCGACCTGGTCTCATTGACAACAAACCGCGGGGGGCGCGCGCGCCGGGGCCGCGGGGGCGGGGCCGCCGGGGCGGCCCAAGATGGCGCGGGGTCGGCGGCGCCCGCTGGCAGCGACAGCAGCGGCCGCCTGAGCGCCCGGGGCGGCGGCGGCGGGCCCTGCGCCATGGAGGGCGGCGAGCTGGCCGCCGAGAGCATGGAGACCCTGACCGAGCTGGGCGACGAGCTCACCCTGGGCGACATCGACGGTGGGCGCCGCGGGAAGGGGCGGGGGTGGTGGGAGCGGCGCCCGTGGGCTCCCCACGCGTTGTGGGGGGTAGCGCTCGTGTCTTCCCGCGGGCCCCGGGCTGCCGGTGCCGCCCGGGGGACAGGACGCGTGGGTGGGGTGGTTCTTGGATCGCGCTGCGTGGGGTGTCCCCCCCCGAGCGCGGAGTGGGAGCGCAGGGTGGCCACCCTGGCTTGACCCCTCTGCGTGGGGTGCGCTTCCCACGCCGGACAGGCTTCCCGTGCGAGCGGGGATCCCTCGTCCCGCGTGGGGACAGGCGGGGGTGCGGGGCGCGTCCCGCCGGGCAGCGCTCGCCTGGCGAGCGGCCACGCGTGTGTCCCCTCGTGGCGCGGGCAGCCCACGGCCGGCCCTGCCTGGGGAGTGCTTCTGGGAGACTTCTGTGGGGCTGAGCCGCGCCTGAGGCAGGCGGGACAGATGTGGTAGCCTCAAGGAGCCGGTGTGGACGTGGGGGTCCTCCCACCCGTGGTCGGCCCGGGAAAGGGTCGGAGAAAGTTCTTGTCGTGTCCCTCTGCTCCTGCCGCAGACCCGCGGGGCAAACGGCGCAGCCCCCGTCCCACTCGTGTTTCCTCGCGGCTCTCTCAAAGTAGGTGCTAAACGATGGCCGGAGCTGTGCCACGACTAGTGTCTGTGGGAGGCTGAGCCTCCAAGCCCTCTGGCACCGAAACAGCTCTAACTGCTTAAATTTCCCTTATTTCCCTGTCGTCCTAAAACTTCACCACGTCACTGGCACAGCTAAGACCCGTGAGAAAATCGCTGTTTTCTACCGAAATGCAGCAAAACGAAGCGCCTGCGTGTGACGCTATTATATATATATTTTTTGGTGATACCAAGCAGCTCCTGAAAACCTGTTTAAAGTGTCATTTCTCGGTGCGGTTTCTGCTGTAGGCTAGAGACAGGGTCCTGGCTCAGTTCACTGCTGTGCTGGGCTGTAATCGCAATCGGAGCTCAGCTTTGGGGGCGGGAGTGTCCAAAGCATCCTTGTTTAGCCGCGGGGAGATAAAATGATACCAGTGCTTTTAGATTTCTAATTGACATCGATTTGCAGTGTAGCTCGGGGCAAAATTTATACCCCTTATTTCCTCTGTCATATATGAAAGAAGAATATACGTTATGAATGTGCAAGGGGCTTAGTTATTGGTCATAAAGTTTGATGGTGCTCATTGAAGTTGGTGTTTGCTCTTGTTTAAGCACCATGTAATAACTTCTCAGGTTGCATAGAGAAACAGAGGCGAATTGATGAACCCAGAGATGGCTCTGAACTGAGGTGTGCCCGAGGAGGTGTGATTCAGAGTGATGAGTAACTTAGGAAAACAAGCTTCGCTTTCCTCCCCAGCTCCAGGGGTGGATTTTCCTGGGGGAAGGGGGGGGGGGAGGGTGTATGACAGTCTTGCTTTTTTTGTACTCCAACATGGATTTGTCTCAGGGTTTGAAAACTTTGCAAGGATTTTCATTTGGTTTTCAAGTCATCTTGTTGATGTACCTCTCCCATTCAGGGCTGAGAGACCCCTCACTTCCAGTTGTGTGGATTTTGATTTTCTGTGGTAGATGTGCCAACTGCTCTAGGACTATCCCCACGCACTGGGGTCATAGCAAGGGTGGTCAGGGGGTCCAAGTGCTGAGCCTGAAGGCTCTGCCTCCCACCCCAGCACAAACTCCTCCACCAACCATGGGCACCTTCCTCTTGGCAGGACACTGCTGGGTAACACCGGCGCATGAGGTCTGAGTTGGTTAGGATGTGAAGCATGTCAGGGTTCAGAGCAGAGGGGTTATTTCTGTTGAGGTTGGAATCTCTGCTGCTTTCCATTTCTCGAAGCACAGCATCTCCAGGAGTGTGAGGAAGAGCAGCCTGTGTGCTGGAGAGCTGAGCCACTGCCCGGAAGAGGCAGCTGAAGCCCAGCCCTTGCATTTCTGCCAGGTATTCAGTCCCTGGGCTAATGAAAGCAACAGAAGCCCTTGGTGGGCTTGGTTTCGTAATATCTTGTTGACATTTTTTAGCCTTGGGCTGGGCCAGGATAGTTTCTGCAGTAACGTATCACCCTGCTTTGGGGGCCGAGACCTCTCCAGCACAGAGGGTGCCAGTGCTCTGATGACACTGGGTTTATCACTGATGCTTGGTCCTTCAGAAGCACCTGAGGTTTCTCACAGTGAGTGTAGACACTGAAGGTGTTTTAAAAGGCAGAGGTTTAGATTTTGGATGTTGGCTGTTTCTCCTGCTTTATGTTTTTTGTGTGTTGTTACTAGAAAAGTTCTTGGGCCCTTTAAAAGAGGTGGGTTTGATTCCCCTCATAGTCTTAATTCTTTAAAATAAATCTTTAGACTTTTTGTATTTACCCCAAGTTAAGTCTGTAATAAAGACATAGTTTAACTTGTGAGAGCAGGAATAATTCTTTTAATAAGATGTTAAATCTACTGCATTGAACACAACATTCTTTAAAACTCAGTGGTTGAAATTTGGTTCTTATGCTGGAATTTACTAAAATCTCATGCGATTTATGTTTATCCCCCAGTTGCAGTAGTGCTGTCTGATAGTGAAATAGCAGTACCATCAAATGAAGAGTTGGAGAAGTAGTTTTTTATCATGTTGAGGTTTATTTGGGATAGTCTTAGCTGCAGTCGGTTGGAGCTGTTTAATATCTGTCTAGATGTTGTGCACAAGTGTTAATCTTGAAACAGCCCTCCTTGCTCTGGTAATGTTTTATTAAAGCCAACTGAGGGAATGCGTGGAAAAAAAAAATTCATGTAGTGAAAAGTAGAGACAAGGATTTGGTCCAGCTGGTCCCTGAACGTGGCTGCTGCCTCATGCCATGGGAACTGTGCGTCCCCGCTTAAGTGTCAGGTCGTGAATAGGTCAGGAGGACACATCGCCTCCCAGGCTCCTCCATCCAACAGACTTGAGTTCTTAAGAGAAGTGGTCATGGTCGGTGCTTCAGTGTGTGTCAGGGCGTGGAGGGATTGCTGCTGGAAGGAAAGAGTAATAGTATCATAGAAATATGTCGAAACCTGTGCTGAGGGAGCAAGAAGCTTGGAGGAGGATCCATCCCTTTGCTCTGTTTCAGCCAAAGGAGTGTCAGACAAATTAATTGGATAATGTGTGGGTGGCATTTTGGAGAGGCAAATTAATAGCCACCTTATTGCTGGGACAGCCTCCATAGGAACTTCTTGTGAAAACTTTACTGCTTCAAACCCGCTTCATAAACCACAGCAGCAACATCCTTTGCATTTGTGGATGAGAAAGGGCCTGGTGTAAGTAGCCCTTTACCACATTTTTTCCTATAAGTCAGAAGTCTATTTTCTGCTTCCTAAACTCTTATTTATTATTTTCTTATAAACTCTTTCTTAGGTTTGTGGGTTCCCTCCCTTTTTTCCCCACTTCCAGAAAAAAATAAATAGGACTTTCAGAAAACTGTGGAAAAGCCAGTGCAGCATGGACAGATGCTGGGGTGGGGTAGGATGTCTGACTCCTCGTGCCACTACCTGCGCACAGATCTGGGAAAGCATTCAGGTAGCTTAAGGTGCATAATTGGATTAAAGTGGATTAGATGTGTGGAAGAGGAAGCTCTGCTTATGAACAATGAGCTCTTGGTTGTTGTGAAATTTTCTCCTCTGTAGAGAAGAGCCATAGCATTGCAGTAGGAGCCTCTTGATGTGGACTGATAAAATCCTGGAGAAGGTGGGATGGAGAGAACCTGCTGTGCAGTGATTGCAGGAAGAAAACCAGCAGGAAAAAGTCGTTCTGGTATTTTAAACACATACATGGATTTCTGCTACAGTTTTGCAAAGTGTTGTTTCCTTTAGTGTTTTTTCCCCAGGTTCTTGTATCCTTGTAACTAAAAGAAAGTTAAGGTGAATTCTTATCCTGTTTCTTCATTTTGTAAATTCTTATTGGGGCAGGAGGGATGAAAGCTCCTTAAAAGTTGTATGGGAGAGTGGTTAGCGATGGAATTGTTCAGGTGGTTAGTTTCTTCCTTCTGCAAGGTTTAGACTGAAGGAGTGATGGAACAAGAGCAGTATTTTAGCTAAATATTGGAGATGGCTTTACGTTCTAGTCTGTGCTTGCATCTTGTCGTCTGGGAAAGTGGTGTAGGAGAGTCCTGCTTCTCCCCCTGAACAGCAGCAGCAGTGGTGTGCTACTGACCACCTCTTGGTCTCTCTCTGGAGGTGTTAGATTAGTGAGATGTGTTCTCTGAAAGTTTTGAAGGACCTAGAGCTCCCTTCTATGCGTACACCCCATCATTCCTGTCCTGATGCACTGGCAAGTATCAAAGTATGTGGGCAATAAAATAGTGTTGAACTAATTTTCTTCTGTTTTACAGAGATGCTGCAGTTTGTCAGTAACCAAGCAGGAGACTTTCCAGATCTGTTTTCGGATCCCTTGTGCAGCACCTTCCAGGGCGGCAGCAGCAGCAGCAGTGGCAGCAGCAGTGGGACCTTGGAGCCACAGTTGCAGCGGTCATACAGCCAGGTGCAGCTCCAAACCTTTCCGCAACCGCCCGCGTCCCCCCAGCTCCAGAGCCTGCCAGTCAAAGCAGCACAGACGACACCTCCAGCGCCTTCACGCTCAGCCCCTCTCCTTCAGCCCCGGCCCTCGCTCCAGCCTCAGCTCCAGCAGCAGGCCGTCATGATCACGCCGACGTTCAGCTCTGCTCCCCAGACCAGGATTATCCAGCAGCCGGTCATCTACCAGAACGCGGCCACAAGTTTCCAAGGTAGCGCTTGCGGTGCTCAGGCTACAGATGGGCCTGGTGCGTTCAGAATTTTGGGATGCTCAGGCTATGAGTGTGCCTGGTGCACTCGGAATAAATGGCACTAGTGTTCAAACTCCAGACACATCCTAAGCCGTGACAAGCCTAACGATCCTTTTGTTGTGATGCTGCCTGTGAGGTGTCCCTTCTCCTGCCTCTGTGGCTTTGGAGTTAGGGAGCATGAAAAATTGTCATAAATGAGATCTTAAGTGGTTTTTGTGTGGCCTCTTGCCATAGTTGTCATCTTGCTGTTCTCCTCTGTTATGGCCTTCTCCCCTGTCACTCTTGAGAGGCTTGAGAAAAGTATGTCTTAAAACGTTGTTGGCAACCCTGTCCTCCCACTGATGGGTGCACTGGGCAGATCCAGTCTGTCCCACATGGCAATCTGGAATGAAGGCACATTTTATATACCAGACTCTTGAGTGCAGTACCTGCATTGAGCAAAGTCACCTGTAGGGATATTTACCGATGACTGGCTCTTCATTTGGGAATGTCACTTGACTTGATCCTCTTTAGTAAGTGTTGATTCTTTATGTGAAAAATAGGATCCTTTGGTCCCCCAAGATCAGGGAATGAGAAAGTGCAGGTTGGATGTACAGCATAATGCTACTGTGCTATCAGACCAGAGGGCTTTTTTCTCTTAGGTGATCCTCTGTGCCTCCTGGAAAATCGCTGTTCTAGGTGCAGTGTCCTCTTGCAGGAGGCACCAGAGAAGCTTCCCGACATGTGGAATGCGTTTGATGAATGCTGCCTACTGAGAAGCTTTGGGAAGAAGAGGAGTGATTCTAGAAGCATTTGCAGGCACCAAAAGGGAGACCTATCTCTGGACTGTTTTTTCTGTTTTTCAGTTCTCCAGCCCCAAGTCCAGAGCCTGGTGACATCCTCCCAGGTTCAACCAGTTACCATCCAGCAGCAAGTGCAGACCGTGCAGGCCCAGCGAGTGCTGACCCAGGCTGCCAATGGCACCATCCAGACATTAGCGCCAGCCACGGTCCAGACAGTTGCTGCTCCACAGGTCCAGCAAGTTCCGGTAAGTAAAAGTGTGGAATGATACAGGGATCCAGCAGAAGAAGAAAGTGCTTTTGCAGGTCTGGTTTCCTGGCTTGCCAGGGAGAGGAGGCGAAACTAGTAGTGCTGGCAATCCTGTCTAGGATTGCTTTTGCACAATCATTTTTAAATGTAAGAGGTACTTCTGGCCAGCCTGTGTCCCAGAAGCATTTTGCTTCATGCAGGCCATGCGTGAAAGTCCCTGTTGCAAGCTGTGATGTGACTTCAAGTAGTGGGCAGTGTTCAGAAACTGTTTTCACTAAAACACTGGCTTAACTAAATGTGATCTAAAGTAATTTTTGGAACTTGGTACTGCCAAACCGGATTGGAAACCTTACTTGAACAAGCTTTCTTTGACTTTTGCCTACTTTTTTGCAAGTCCGTCACCTCTACCACATGTATAAGGATTGCTCAGTACTGGAATGTGTTCTTCCAATTCTTCTGTCACTTTTTTAATCTTTTTACTGCTACAGTGTTACATGATTTTATATTAAAACATACACAAGATTTTTTGACTCAGTGTGTCTTTATATTAAAAATGTTTGTCTAGGGGACTTGGTATGACAAAGTTGTTCTGGTTCAGTTGTACTGTGCCATCTGTCATGTTCTCTGAGAATCAGCAAGGTATTTGGAAGAAATAAGAGCAAACTATGTTACGGTAAAATAACTAACAGTTGATTTTGATCTGCTTGATGTTTATGGTACAGATCCTTTTGGTGAAATTTTAGGGGGGAAGCTGCTATAGGTATTTCCCAAAGCAGACTGTCCTAGCTGTGTTAGACTCTGAGTACTCAGCCGGTTAATACAGGGAACTAATTATAGGTGTAATTGGAGAGCGCAAGGCAGCTTTTCCATCAGCTCTTTTGTGTTTTTACGTGCTTGTTTACTTCGGGTGACTGATTTGCAAACTGGTGTCCTGGTGGTTCCTCTGCACCCCTCCCTCCAGTGCTGTCGAGGCTGTCTCATGGTCAGAGTTTGCAATAGGGCTGACCAAAAGCGTTCAGGTGATGCAGAGTGCAAGGAAAGAAATACTCACCCTTGCTCTTTTGCCATTCACTGAGTTGTAAAGTAACTACAACTCTGCCAGCGCTTTACCTCTGGCTACTGAGATCAGCAGGGAAGTGCGTGCTCTCCCCTTCACCTGTAACTCTTTTCAACCTAGGTTCTGGTCCAACCTCAGATCATAAAAACGGATTCCCTTGTCCTGACAACCCTGAAAGCAGATGGTAATCCTGTTATGGCTGCAGTACAGAACCCAGCACTGACAGCACTCACTGCTCCCATTCAGACCACAGCTCTGCAGGTACTGTATGGATGTTCTTCCCTCCCTCTCCTCACTGATTCCTGTTAAGTAAGAGATTTGAGCTTTAGCATTCTGCAGTAATGCAGACAGAAGGGGTTTTGAGGGCTGTTCTAGACACGTCCAGAGCAAGCAATACCCTGTTTCTGCCAAGGCTAAACACACAGATTATACTGCTTGGCAGCCTCCCATGGCCAGTAAGCAAAGACCAAGGGCACATTTCTGTTTACCTTTCTCTGGTATTACAAGGAGAGGAATATGACCTAAAAACTCTGTCTGTTTTTTTTACCTGAAACTGAAAGCTAACTTGCTCAGAGTACCTATGGAACTTTCGTTTACCTCTCAGTAGTGTCTAATAGTAGTATATTGAATGTGACAACTAATTAAGCTACTTTTCAGAGGGTGCTTGCGGCGAGGATTTATTATAATCATTGGAGATGGCAACTGTGCTTCATGGCCTCTGTGCCTCATGGCCTCCACTTTGAGAAACTTTTGTGCCCTCAAAGAAACATTTATTACAATCTTGTACATTTTGAAAAGCTATCTCTGTACAAATATTTACTGGGAGAGATGAGCTTAGACTTAGGTTTTGACTTCTTTTGCAACAGCATGGTAGGCTTCTTACATGCTTGTTAGCAGCCAGGCTGAAACCTTCAATTAACGTGCTTGCTTTTAGATGATGTTTTCACACAAAGGTGAGGCTTACATGGTTCTGTCTACCTGAGACATGTTTGAACACATTGAAATTTGGTGGAATTAGCCAAGGAAAAGTTTAAGACTTAATTTCACTTATTTGTTAAGTTCTTGAAATGAAATTATTTTTCTGATATCCCAATTAGAAGACTATTTCAGAGTTGAAACTGTTCTTCAAGTTTCTCATGGCTAGTTATTATTACATTTGTCTTTTGACAGAAAAAACTCTTCTCCATAGCCACTTCCTTAATCCTCGAGGTACTTCAGAGAATGCATGTATCTTTCTCAATCTTGCTTTGCTGGATTAAGTGGTCTAAACTTTCTTTTACTCCAGCTGTCCTGGAAGCCCCTCTGTTCTGATGGGATTCATCATACTTCATGTCTGAGTACATACTGCTTTAGTTTGGTGTAGATGGTCTGTAGGTTGGTGTCCAAGTCTGAGCTTTTCATGACGCTATATGGCACTCATTGTCTTAGTTCCTCATCTTAAGGCATTTTTGTAGCTTATGAATTTTTTTTCTCTTCATTTAATCAAATTCAAATCAACTGCATTGTTCAAACCAAGTTTGTTTTTTCATAATAGAGTCCTTTCTAACATTGTCATTACTAGTTTGGAAGTAGTGTAGCCTGTTGCTGTTTTATTGACTTAATTCGTCCACAGAAAAGGTGGATTTGGACACTTAGAGTGTAAGGATTGTAGGAACAAAGAGGAGTCTTGGTCCATTTCTCTGTTTAAGTGGATGAACAGAGCACAGTATTGGCAGAAATGTTGATATTCTTGGAGAACAAAAGATGTTCTTATTCCACAGCGACTAGTGCGGGAGCCAGAGTGACAGATTTTTCCTGTGTTGCTGTGCCAGTGCTCGTGCCAGCTAAGAAAGACAGAAGGAAATTGGCATCTCACATCTTTTCTGAGCTGTACAAACTTTTCCTGATTATTCTTTCATTTACTCCTTTTTTTTTTTTTTGCCATCATAAACCTTATCTAAATTGGCTGATTGCTCTTGACACTTGTTACACGTGGTCTTTGTAGACCCTCGTTGGAAGCAATGGGACCATTTTGACCACAATGCCGGTGATGGTGGGACAAGAAAAGGTGCCTATCAAACAAGTTCCTGGGGGTGTCAAGCAGCCTGAACCACCTAAAGAAGGAGAGAGGAGAACAACTCACAACATCATCGAAAAACGTTACCGGTCATCCATAAATGACAAAATCATTGAGCTGAAGGACCTTGTCATGGGCACAGATGCCAAGGTAAAGATGGGGGATAAGAGCAAATCTGGTATAATAAATACTTTGTCTTCAGAGGTGCTTGTTGCTCTACCAAATGAAGCATTTGGGTACATGCAGCTGTAAGTAGTGTGCACACGTGTATTGGGATAACACCAACGAGAAACACTCGAGTGATGGAAGGCTTGATAATTGTATTCAGGAAGGGTCACCTGTAAAATACTAATTTTACTATGCTAGTGATACTGTTTCTTGAATATAAGCTATACCTTATGCGTTTGTTCTTATGTTAGGTCTAACTTAAAATAGGTAGAATATCCAAATGGATGTTTTGGTAACTCTGCCGAACCAGATCTTGCTTATTGTACGTTTCCTTTTCCATGTGACTGCAGTAGGGATGAGGGTTTGCAGAGCTTTCCAGTTTATTTCCTTTAGATATTAAGCAGTAAAAACTCTTACTTGCTCAATTATTGGAAGCTTTCTTACACCCCATGTTCAGGGTTGTCCTATTTGCTTTACCTCATGCTGGCGGAGCAGGCAGTGGTATTCTTGATACTTCTGTGATCTCTGTACAAATAAGTGCACTAGTGAAGTCATCTCCTATTGCTGAGTGGAATTGGGAGCTTAATGTTGTTAAAAACACGGGTAATGTGCAGTGGCTTCATAGTACTTTCCGCTTGTGTTTACAAGATAAACTTGTCCACTGCTGCTGGAAGCAAGTGTTTTCATGGGGATGGCCAAGGCAGTGAGGCAAGGAGGGAACTGTTCTCACAATTAGGCAGTGAACAATGGTCAACAGGCAGCAGCTTGTTCTATCGCAGAAGACAGCCACTTGTTTACAAACTATGATACTTTCAAAGGACTATTTCTGGCTGAAACATAGATGTGAACTCTTATAATTTGGATGTTAATCTGTTTCCACTGTACTGTTTTGTAAGATCTCTGAGAGACCTCAGTCCTTGTGTATGTTTGATACCTTGCCCACTGAGCGTGTCCTGCTGTTAGGTCCTTGCAGCTGCTGTGAGGTCCTTTACTCCCTTTTCTATCACCACACGACACAAAGGGTTGTGGTATCCCTACAAGCAGGAGTGACCCTTTAATTCTCTTTATATAAACTGCTCTTTGTATGTCTTAATTCCTTGCAGATGCACAAGTCTGGAGTCCTGAGAAAAGCCATTGACTACATTAAATACCTACAGCAGGCCAACCATAAGCTGCGACAGGAGAACATGGTTCTGAAGTTGGCCAACCAAAAAAACAGTAAGTTGTGGAGGCTGTGCAGCAGGGGGGAGGCAGCCAGCATGAATGTAGAATGTATCTTGCAATCTCTTATTCTTGACTGAACTTGCATTGATAGTGACCAGTGTTACTCCAGGTGACAGAGCCAGTCTGAGAGATACTGACAGAATTCAGGATGGAAAAACACATACATAATGCACTCTGATTTTTGCAGAGCTCTTGAAGGGCATTGACCTAAGCAGTCTAGTTGAGAACGATGCAGATCTGAAGATAGATGACTTCAACCAGAATTTGCTGCTGATGTCTCCTCCAGCCTCTGATTCGGGATCTCAGGCTGGCTTCTCTCCCTATTCCATTGATTCAGAGCCAGGAAGCCCTCTCCTTGATTATGCAAAGGTATTTATGACTTCAGTTTTCAAATTTAAGGTCTCTACTTCAGGAATACAGGAGGGCCAGAATTTAAAATCTCCTTATTTTCAAGAGTGGAACCAGCAAGCAGATCTGTAGGGCTTAGAGATCCTTTGTAAGGATGAGGAAGGTGCATCTGTGTGTTTTATCGTTTCTTAAATGATTGCAGCTATTTCCTGAGCTGTTTTACCTGAGCCTTACCTTAGCTACAAGAAGAACTGTACTTATCCTTCAGCCCCTCTACAGTCTTTGTGGACTTACAGTGCTTGTTCATGACCCAAGTTGCCCATGACTTTCCAGGATATGAATGTCCAGTGAGTAAAGCAGGAGAACTTGGAAAAGGATGATGACATCAGCTGTGGTTAATGAAACCATAAGTAACAGAAAGCTGTTAGCTGTTTTCGGCTTACAAGTTTGTTTTGTGGATATCACAGAAGAAGTGGGTTTTCTGGGAGATCCTCAAAAAAGTAAGGGCAGCAAAGGTTAATCTTAGCCTAAATCAAAGATCCAGTTCATAACTGAAATGACTGGTAGCAGGAGGAAGTTGAAGGCATTCAAATATCTCAGCCTTATCTTACTAAGCTGTGAAAAGCTTTACTGGAGTTCTTGCTGATGTTGAGCTCAAAAGCAAATTTTAAAACATGTTCTGTTTCTCCTGTTTCCCTACCCCTCCCTTGGCATACATGCTTCTTGTGGTACAGAACGGTAAGCAGTTTGTTTTCTTCTCTTTTTTTCTCCATTCCTATGCATTTAAAGGTTAAAGATGAGCCCGACTCTCCTCCTGTGGCGCTTGGTATGGTGGATCGCTCTCGAATACTCCTCTGTGCTCTGACATTCCTTTGCCTTTCCTTCAATCCGCTGACATCCCTCCTGGACATCCGGGGAACCCCAGAGTCTGACAGCTTGGTGCGCCGCAGCTCTGGCAGAAACATGCTGACCATTGAGTCAGGTAATGAACTAGAATAGTTTGGACCACAGAAAGTGTCCAGCCTTATGTGGTCTCCATAAAGGTCACCACCAGCTGTGACCGCTGCAGGTCACAAACTGGACGGTTGCTGAGGTTCAGTAGGATGGTTTTGTGTGTTCAGGGAGTTGCACGACCTTTGTTTAATGGGTGGGGAGTGTAGTAACTGCTGGGCTGGGTGTGGGAAGAGAGCCAGCTTGGATCTGGTTCCAGTTCACATCCACATCCAGCATTCTTCTTGCAATAAAAGCAACCATGGCTCAGTGTGGTGAGGTTGAGGTAGCACCTGTTCGTAGTCCAGCAGCCTGGGCTTTCAGGATAGACCCTTTAAAGTAGTTGAGGGTAAGGAGCATCCTCCTGGTCTCACCAGTCTTTGAGGCATGTTCACTTTGTATTTGTTTTTAAGGTAACTGATTTTTTAACTTTAATAATGAAGTTATTACGCTGTTGCTATGGGATCTTGCAACTGGCTTGTTTGATACACTTATTCCATAAAATTCATAGGGGAGGACAGGGGATGCTGTAGGTCATTTTCCTGACTGGTAAATGTGCTTCCTCCGTGTCGCTTTGTAATTTATATTAGGATCAAAAAATGACACTGAAGTATTGAGTATCTGTGGGTGTATCTTACAGAAAAATCAGAAGACAAGATACTCTGGGAAAACTAAGTGCTGATTCAGTTTTTTATACATAAGTTTTCTGAAAATAACCATTTAGTTGGAAGTGTTGTGGCTTGGAGTTTAGATGAAGAGCTGTTGATGTAGGTGCTTCCTGATTGAAATGCAGTCTTTGCAAAAGTTGATTAAACATGTGGCAAGCATAGCAAAGACATCCTCCTGGGTCTGTGCTCGTTATATTGCCAAGCTTTTGGTGTCCAGATTAGCTTTTAACTTTCCTTTTGGATGTCTGCTGTAGATGCAGCTGGTTGGTTTGGTTGGATGATGCCCACGCTAATCCTGTGGCTTGTCAATGGAGTGATTGTACTGAGCGTGTTCATAAAGCTACTTGTGCATGGAGAGCCAGTGACCCGGCTACACTCAAGGTCGTCAGTCACCTTCTGGAGGCATCGCAAGCAAGCGGACCTGGATCTGGCACGGGTAAAGTTGACTCATTGTTTTGCATCAAATGCATCTTTTAGATGGGATTTTGGGTAAATGTTGCCTAGTGAGGCGGTGGTTGGCGCTTGCAAGAGCATGGTCTTCCTTGAGTGGACCATCCTGTCTGATTTCAGAGAAGCTGTTGCTAGGTTGTCCTGAGCAGATTGCTGTCCTCACTCAACCTAAGTTAGAGAGGCACAGATGCCAGCATTGGAAGAGGTTCCTAACTTCTGTCCTTGTTCCTGGCTACTGCATCTTGTATCAGTTTTTGGCAGCAATATCTTGGGTTTTGTCCAGAATCTGGCCTCTGCTGTGCTGCTCTGTCTGCTATCCTCCAACCTCTTGGAAGCCCTCTCCATTGTTGGGGCAACATTGGACTTTTGATAGGGGGACCCCAAAAGTTCCATGTTGTTTGAGAAGACCTTCTTTCACCTAATACCAATGTGTCTCACAGGCAGTGCAGGATCAGAACTGCGTGTGGAAGGATATGTTCAGGGCCAGACATCAAGCTGATGTAAATTGCCCTTATGTTTTCTGGCTCTATGATGATGTCCCTCTGCTAAAGATCTTGTCCTGGCTTACACATCAGTTTGTTTTGCTCCCAGTGCTGAGGAGGTCCCAAAGCATCTTCTATAATGGTGATTTTTGTTGTTGAACTTTTTGCTGTGTTATTTGCAGGGCGATTTTGCTGCAGCTGCGTCAAACCTGCAGACTTGCCTGTCAGTACTTGGTCGAGCACTGCCAGCTTCCCGCCTGGACTTGGCCTGCAGCCTGTCCTGGAACGTGATCCGCTACAGCCTGCAGAAACTGGCGCTGGTGCGGTGGCTGCTGAAGAGGACTTCTCATCAGTGGCGGGCGAGGGAGGCCACTGCGGGCTTCGAGGATGAGGCCAAGACCAGCGCTCGGGATGCAGCTCTAGCATATCACAAGCTCCATCAACTCCACATAACAGGTAGGAGATATGCTGTCTGATTTTGCTGAATGATGAGACTAAGCTGTTCCTGGAGGATACAGGGAGAGCACTACAGTCTCTCTCCTGGGATGGCTGCTGTTGGAAATTAGCCTGACAAATTTTAGGAGCCACTTACTAAAACGGGACAGATTCATGCAATCAAAAAACTCCATCAGAACAGCTGAAGCAACAGCAGTATCTCAAATTACATATTCCTGAGTCTGCAGAGGTGGCTGAGAGTCGTTCCCAAGCAGCAGTTGACTGAGTCCAGTCACTTTTTGCTGCTGTTAAAGGCTTGTTTTATCACTGTCACTTGGGAATGTGAGGTGGAAGCAGGGGCTGCGGTTAATTGCTGGAAGAATTGAAATTTCTGAAGCTGTGTACAGTTTAGGTTACCATTTGGTGTTGATGTGTTTTGGAATCCTGGGTGTGTGCACATGCACTGAGGAAGTGTTTGAATGTTCCTTGCAAATGGTTGTTTTTGCTATTTCCTCGGCAAAGCAATTTGTAATGTCAGTAGGCTCCTAGCAGAGCAGAAATCCAAGCTAAACTTCCTTTTGCGTAATCATTCTTTGTGAATTGTCACCATGACACCAGGGCATGGTGTACTTGTTCTTAAATATTATCTGTGTAGGTATAGGTGTGGACTGCAAAGGAGTTCAGTTTTAAGATAATGATGAATACAGTGAGGTAAAATTTGCTGATGATTTTATCCTAATTGGCTTAGCTATACAGAGCTTTCTTGTGGAAGTGAGGCCACGGATGCCAGTCTTTAATATCTGTGGAGGGAAGGCTCCGTTACGGTTGTTCTGTTTTCCGAATACAAAGTTGGCATATGATGTTGCAGGCTTCTCATATCAACAGGTTCTTGTCGTTTCTTTAGGATAGTAGCCTTACAAATTATGGTAGTATTTAGTAGCTGGTACTACAGATTAAAAGGTCACACTTTTTCTTCCTCTTCCTGGCACAGGTAAACTTCCCTCCAGCTCAGCTTACTCGGGATTGCACATGGCTTTGTGTGCTGTGAATCTGGCTGAGTGTGCAGAAGAAAAGATCCCACCCAGCACAATGGCAGAAATCCACCTGACTGCTGCGGTTGGCTTGAAAACCCGCTGTGGAGGCAAGCTTGGCTTCCTAGCGGTGAGTTGGTCTTCTCCTCTCCCATCAAACCTCCAAGAAGAGCTCTAGGAAAGCCAGGAAACTGGCATTGCTGTAGCTCAGGACATCTGCTATCAGTACAATTATAATATGACTTGCAGTTATGATATGAGCTGTAATTATGATATGATCTTTGTCCTCGGTGGTGCGACTCTTCCCTGGATGCTGTTCTCAGTCAGCCTCTCCTTTCCACAGAGCTACTTTCTAAGCCAGGCTCAAAGCCTGTGCAGCTCAGAGCGCAGTGCCATTCCTGACTCATTGCGTTGGCTGTGCCACCCCCTGGGACAGAAATTTTTTGTGGAACGAAGCTGGACGGTGAAGTCGGCTGCAAAGGAGAGCTTGTACTGCACCCAAAGGAACCCTGGTGAGAGCTGCTTGTCCTGACTGTGTGGCCTCCCAGCACTTTGAGCCTGGCAATCTCTCCACTCTTTTATCTGGGACAAAAGCGGGTGTTGTGTTTGAGAGAGTGTCTTTATATGTCCGCCCTGCTTGTGGTTTTGATGGGCCAGAGAGGGTGTGGAGCTGAGAGTTGTCTCTTCAGCCTGTAGGAGCTGACTTTCTTCCCTTTGTATACTGCACTGTGTTGTCCTCTTTATATGCTGGAACACAACCTGGATGTGGCCCCAGATGTCTGGGGGGTGACTTTAGGGTTACCAAGGTTTATCCTCCACGGAGCAGTGTTCTCACTGTTTTGCTGAGTGGCTATAATGTCAGAGCAATGTTTGGCCGAAGGCTGCAACTTTATAAGTGGGTTAAAGGGATAAAAAGCCCTAGAAAACTTAGTCTTTAGAAATCACTGCATTAATTACTCAGGAATTTCCCTTTACTGCTTTTCCTCTTGCTCCTACATTTGATTCTTCTTTTTGGTTGTATTGAGAGGTGTCTATGGCTGTATGCAAGTGAAATGGTTTGGTTTGATCCTTCTCTAGCGGATCCTATTGCACAAGTCCATCAGGCATTCTGTGAGAACCTGCTAGAGCGAGCGGTGGATTCCCTCGTGAAGCCTCAGACTAGCAGAGAAACAGCGGGTCAAGAGGAGGAGGAGTCGTGGTGAGTATAAGTGGCACATTGGGGGCTGCTGACTGCAGCAGCAGACTCTGGGGCAGAACTCGTGACCACTGACTGAGCGCTCTGGGTGGTTAGTCCTTGTTAAAGGCTTGGTGTGACAACTTGAAGTCTGGCCACTGCACCTTGTTACAAGAGTCAGCTCTGCCTCTTTGTTATCAAAACCTCTGAAGGCAGGGGGAACCCGGGTGTGCTGGGGATTTTCGGTGTTAGCTGACATAGTGCTGGTTGATTCTTCAACTGAATGGATGACTTTTCTCTGCTGTGACAAAGTTTAATGTTCAGGAGCACTGAAATTAGTGGGCACCTACCTCTTCTGTAGACCAGGATGTATGTCCAGGGCTTTTAGAGCATAAAAGTCTGGCATGTCAGAGTGTGAACCCCACCAGCTTGCTACCTTATCTAAGAGTGTTCTCCTGACTGAAGTGCCATATTTACCAGCAGTGAAGAATCAAACAGATGCATGGCAAGAGGAGGAAAGATGATGATGGCTGAAATTGTCATTGCCTCTAAACTCTGTGACCAAATGAAAGGGGAGAATAGGTGGAAAATACAGCAGTTTTTTGTACTAAACCAACTTTCTCTTGGACTCCATGGGAGGCAGAACCCACCCTTTGCTAATAATTCGGTACTATTTCTAGCTGGTCTCCAGATATGCTAGTGCCAGGCAAATGCTACGTAAATACATAGGAAGCTGTGTAAGGATCCTGTCCACAGAAAGTGTAGGTAAAAGCCTCAGATGGAAAGATAGCCCAGTTCCCTACCTGTGTAGGGAAAATGTTGTACATTTCGCTTTGGGTTTTTTTTTCATTCTCCTGTCTGTTTCCTAGTAGAGAATGAGCAGCAGTTTGGTGTAATTGCTTGCACATTACAAATGATTGTGATCCAATGCTGCTGTTGATGAGAGAACATAGCAGCATTTGTATAAGGGATGTGGATTGTCACTGTGCTTATCTAAGTCTTGTCTCCTCATGGGAAGGACTAGCTTTAGTAATACAGCAAGCCTTTTTGTCCCCCTCTAGGGGTGGAAGCTCAAGTTCTTCATCTCTAACCTGTCCCAGGAAATTAGGTTGTTGCTGCATATGCTACTTTCTCTGACCATTGCTATGAACATGTCATTTCCAGTCGTACCTATTTGCATATATGCAAATATGCAGTCACAGAAGTGTAGTTTGGCCTCTTTTGGAGGCAGTGGTTGAAAAGGAGTCTGTAATCAACTTGTAACATAGGTCTGTGGTTGAGGTGAGACTCTTGGGGTTGAATCTAGTTCTGCACTGGTCTCCTTGCAGGAGGAGGTGAGGCTGCCCTTTGCGGAACATTGTGCTGTGCGCTTCCACTTACGGGGTGGTCTCTCCAGTCCAGCAGTGCTGTGTTACTTGTAGAGCTTGAACTTTCTGTGGGCTTAATGAGGTGGCACTGTTTAAATATGCCTTGTGACCAGTGAGTAATACCTTGGCATCTCTTGTTTGAGAGCATAGCTGAGGTCTGCCTTGCTTCTTGTTTCAGTGAGTTCTCGGGTGCCATGGAGTACCTGAAATTGCTCAACTCTTTCTTGGACTCCATGGGAAGTGGAGCCCCGCCCTTTGCCAGCAATTCTGTACTCAAGTCTGCTCTGGGTAAGTCTGGCAGAACTGAAGTTCTCCCCACTGCAGGAGCTACTGCTAATATTGGTTCCCTCTCCCTACCATCCCTCAAACCCCAGGCAGGGAGAAATGCAGTCCGTGGAGTGAGGCTTGATTGCGTACCAGTGTGGTACACTCAGACTGGAAGAGTGTGATTAAGAAGGCTTGTAAATTTGGCTGTGTGTTGTAATGCTGAGTGCCCAGGTGGGACTGCTGTTATTTGTACTGTTGGGCAATATTTTATTTCCAAGCAGAACCTTGTGCCCTCACCTGAGGGCTTGCTCCTGGCAAAGCAAAGCAAGAGGAAGGATGGAGCAAATAAACAAACATAGCAATGTTGCAGTTGAGGTACAAGAAGGTTTTTTTTCCACTTAATTACCTATTGAACCATGTTGCCCTTACTTTCACAATGGCTGTCAGGTGTATTCCTCAATCTCCAGAGACCTGCAGCCTCTGCTGCAGGCAAGCTCCGGGCATATACTGTGGGAGGTGCTTGGTTTGGTCCCTTGGTCCCATTATATTTAATGGGACAAGAAGGGCTGTAGAATTTCTCTGAGACATGTGCTCATCTGGGCTGAACTGGTAGCAGGCTGCTGGAGCATTTGTCTTGCTTGGTACAGACAGCACCTGGCAGCTCACCAGGATGCTGGTGCAGCTTTAGACACAGACTAATTGTGCTGTACCTAAAATGTGTAGAGCAAAAATAGAAGGAAAACTAGATAATTCTTTTTTTTAGGGATTATTTTTTGGTATAAAGGGAAGTCTATATTTGGATCAATAGTGTCATGGAATTGAAAAGCAGGTCAGAATAGCAGAGAATATGTCCTTTGGCCCTGGATAGGCTTTGGGAAGATTTTGAGAGGATGTTAATTAATAGAGGAAATAATATAGGGAGCTTGGTTTACTATCTTGATGGTGATTAGTACCAAAGCTTGGTATATATGAGTGGAGTTGTTGTTAATTTGGGGTGGTGAGGGGAGATTGTTGTCAGGAAGGAAGTCAACAGATTTCTAGACAAGTTGACAAGCTAAATTCTTGTTGACAAGATACAAATGGGCCATCCCAAACTCTGCTTGCAGTCAGACGTAGGGTGTTTGCCTGCTGCCAAGTTCCTTTGTGTTCCTGCAGCACATTTCAGCATTCACATGGATGGCTGCGTTCCCATGGGATCAGTTTGGGCTCATTAGCATCGATCCCAGTGGAAGGCACTGGCAAGGGCACATGATACCTGCCTGCTTCTCCAAGAGGGAGGGAGCCAGGTGTCCTCTTCTTGGCTGCAGCTCATGATTTTGTTTTGCAGGTCCTGACATGGTGTGCCGATGGTGGTCAGCAGCGGTAGCAATGGCAATTGGTTGGCTCCGGGGGGACGATGCAGCTGTGAGGTCACATTTTGCAGAAGTGGAACGCATGCCGAAATCCCTGGAGATGTCAGAGTGCGTAGGCCTTGTGCGCTTTCCAAACCACTGCTCCTTCTAAACAGGGATGACTCTTTCTCTTCATGCTGTCCTGTAGGATTAACACCTACCTGTGCTCTGGAGCTGCATGTCCCTTGTGCTCTGCGAGTGCTAGTGTGCTCAGCAGTTCGTGTGTAGGTCAAGGCTTGCAGACTGATATTAGAGCTGTGGACTGGAAGGATCAAAGGTGCTTCTTTAGGGATGTCTTTTGGATTTGTTCAAATTGCACAGCCCTCCCACCTTCCGAAGTCAAACCACAAAACTGACATGCTAATGGCAAGGCTGGTTTCAGCATCTCTGTTCTTTTGCACCACAGCATCTTTGCCAGCTTCCTCTCTTTTCTTGCATTTCTCTGTACAGTCTTTGTAGGTGAGGAACCATTGCCATCTTTTCTGTCTAAGGAATGATGATATCTCTGCTCTTGAAGATGGACGAGTGAAAGCTGATGCTGTGACAGCATGACTTGGTACTGCTTGAAAGCAGCGTGCTCTTTGTCTTTCAGGAATGCCCTGGTGAAAGCCACCTTCCACATGTGTAAAGCCATGCAGGCCTCGCTGTCTGGGAAGGCAGATGGACAGCAGAACTCCCTGGGTCACTGTGAGAGGGCCAGCAGTCACCTATGGAACAGCCTCAACATGAGCAGCAGCATCTCTAGCACAGTCCTCAGCAATGTAAGAGCTATAAGCCCTGGGATAACACATGGTCTGTTGGGGTTGTAAGATTGGTCTTGCTGTAGGTGTGCTACTTCCCCTCTGTGTTCTCCATCCATCCATCCTGTGTATCATGGGAGTAGAGAGGAGATGTATTCTCTTTCCTTGCAAAGGGTATTGAAATTGTTCTGCTTCTGCTGTATGGGGGAGCAGAGCTGCAAATATAGCGTCATCTCCCTGGGCATGGTCTCAGCTCTCGCTCCTCTCGTACCAGTAGCTGTCATCCCTTTCTGGTGCTTTGACCAGTTTAAATTTGGCCCAGGATATATGGAAAGTATTCATCTCTGTCTTCCAGGTCAAGTTGCTGACACCTGTAAAGCAGGACCTCACTAAGCTGAGTCTGCTCTGTCTCAGGCAGCACTTAGAAGTGTTTGAACCCTCTACCACAGAAGTGTGACTGCTGTGCTACTTGAGTTTGTGTGGGGCTTGTTTCTCTTCTTTCCAGGTTTACCTAAAGCTGGAGCTTCCCTCTGTGGTGTACGGGACGTGTTTCTGGTCCCCTCCGTTGCTCCTGGGTGGCAGCTGTAGTGCATTGTAGTTGCATTGCATGTTGTGGCAGTGACTGTGCAATGTTTCTGCAGTGCAGTACAGAGGCACTCTCCGGCAGCATGGGCAGAGCCCTCCCAGAGCCGTGAGCGGTGCTAGGGGGCAGCAGCAGATGGAGAAAAGGGGTTTGGGCAGCTTGCCATGGGCTGTGCTAAGACTGCCTCTTTTCTCTGCAGGTAGCAAGGCTGTCTTTGCTGTTTCCCATAGTTAGCATTGCCGTTTGGGTGGGAAAGCCTTTGGAGAAGGCTGTGTTCCCATGGGATCCGTTTGGACTCGTTAGCATTGATCCCAGCAGAAGGTGCTGGCAAGGACGTATAACATTGGCACAATATCCCCTTGGCACATGCTGTCTTGACCACTCGATTGAGACATCCTGCTTGGACACACAGCAAAGTCCTGCTCCCTTTGGTGCATTGTGGTGGGGTGACACGGTGGGGAGGGCTGGGGAGCCCCCCCGGTGGGCAGGAGGTGCTGTGGCTGCCTTCCTGTGGGCCATGTCAGCAGCCATGTAGTTTGTTCCTCGCCTAATGGTACGTGTTACTAAGTGTGTGTGCTTGGGCACCCTGGCTTTTGCAGATGATCCAGCTGCTGGCCTGTGACTTGCTGCTCTCACTCCGCACCAGCCTGTGGCAGAAGCAGGCGAATGCCAGCCAGGCACTGGGTGAGACCTACCACGCCTCAGCCCCTGAGCTGACGGGCTTCCAGCGCGACCTCGGCAGCCTGCGCAAGCTGGCCCACAGCTTCAGACCCGCCTACCGCAAGGTGATGCCTCTCTTGCCCGCTCCACCTTAGCTATAGCCCCCCCAGGCGTTGAAGGGAAGCCACGGAAACATATAGGTGTATGTGGGCTTGAGGGGTTTGGACACTTGGGGTGGGATGCTCTGCCGCCAGCAACCTCCCTACTTTCTCTTGGTGGGTGATGGGGGAGGTTCCCGTGGGTGTTCAGTGTACGTGGGGAAGTGTCTACTTTAAGTTCTACATAGAAAACCATCAGCACGTGTGATGTGCCAAACAAATACCATGACATCCTGTCCCTTAAGGTGGCTTCAGACTGGATCTGTCCCTCAGGGGAGTGTGGAAGGAGGCTTCCTCAGCTGTGTTGGCTCTGCAGAGTAGCTGGAGGGTCAGATGCCTTCTGCATCTGTAGAGCCCCAGCTGCTTCTCTGGGGATTTTTCCTCTTCTGTTCAGTTTATCTACTCTTAAGCCTTAGTACAGGATGTATAGTCTAATACTTGAACAAGAGAGTTGTCCTGGTTTTGTCCAAACTCTGGATGCCGCTCACAGTTAGGTGTCAAATCTTTTTCTTTTTTTTTTTTTTTTTTTTTTTTTTTTTTTTTTTTTTTTTTTTTTTTTTTTTTGTTCCTTCCCTCCTCACGGTTTCCCTGACCTGCAAATTCCCCAGAGACAGGTGGAAACATGAGGGAGGAGTGTAGAAGTGGGTCTCTGTTGTTGTCAGAGTGTCAGTGCTCTGCTCTCAAAATGCAGCGGCTGAGGAATGACACACGTTCAGCCACAGCGTTGTCCTCACCTGTCATCTTCCATCCTGCCTTCCCTTCCAGGTCTTTCTCCACGAGGCCACCGTGCGACTGATGGCAGGTGCCAGCCCTACCCGCACCCACCAGCTGCTGGAGCACAGCCTGAGGCGGCGCACACCCCAGAGCAGCAAGCAAGGTCAGCCCTGGGGCCTGGGCAGCGACCCACTGCCTGTGGGGCTGGGAGGGGACAGCACTGGGGCAAGGTGTGGGGGCATAGGTGCACGCTGCAGTGTCTTCTCCTGTGTCAGGATAATGAGCTCCCATCAGTCTGTGGCTCAGGGCGATGCTTCTGCCATGCTCTCTACAAGCTGACTAATGTGAGCTGCCAGCCCTGGGCTGGAGGTGTCGGTGAACAGACTAGAAAACATTTGCCTTTGTGCAACTGAGACTGTTCTACTCTGCTAGCCTAAAGGAGCTCCTTGGGGGTCCTCAGGGTGGCCCTCACTCTTGGCTTAGCCGGGGGTTGCCAACCAGAGATGCCTGTGCTCACTGGTACCGGTTGAGGGCCTGCATGGTGGGGTTTTGTCATGCAGGTGGTAGTTCTGTTGTGAGCTTTCTCTCTCTCCTGTTTGCATGTAGGTGAACTGGACACATTGCCGGGCCAAAGGGAGAGAGCCACGGCCATCCTGTTGGCCTGCCGCCATCTCCCCCTCTCCTTCCTCTCCTCCCCGGGCCAGCGAGCTGTCCTGCTGGCTGAGGCCGCCCGCACCCTGGAGAAAGTGGGGGACAAGCGCTCCTGCAATGACTGCCAGCAGATGATTGTCAAGCTGAGCGGGGGCACAGCCATTGCTGCCTCGTAGTGCTGTCATGGGGCCGCCTTGCACAAAGACAGCCTGGTTGACCATCAGCCTGGACTTCCCTTCTGGAGCTTAAAAAAAGTGCTAGATTAAGGCTGTGCTGGTGGGATCTTGATGGGGTGGGAGGGAGGGTTTTGGTTTTGTTTTATTTTTTTTCTAAACTTGCCCCAGGTTTAGCTTTATTAGCTTCCTTTCTTGTTCTCAGGCACTGCAGCAGGAATCTGTCTAGTTGTGGTTTTTGTCACCTTGCCTGGGGCTCTTGGGAAGCTCTGTCCTGACACTGATTCCCCATTCCTGACACTGATTCCCCCTTCCTGACACTGATTCCCCATTCCTGGTTTGGGGAGAAGCTCACAAGCCCAAGGCGTAGAGAAGTGACCCATCCTATGTCTGTCCTCAGGGGTATTTTGTTCCCTTCCCAAACACCTCTGCAGAAAGAAGTCTTTGGGGAGGGCAGAGGGTCTGCTCAAGCCTTGTCCCACAGGGCTGCTGGGGCTTGAGGATGTTCCCAAAAGAGAGGGGAAGGCACCAACTTCCCTTGAGTTGTGTGTCAGGAAACTGAAGCCCCCTATACCCAACTTACCTAGGTGCTCTGGGAGTATCACTCGGGGCCAGTACTGCCCAACAAATTTCTCTACAGTTTTTATACAGGTTTTTTTATAGGAGTGTTTGTGGCTTTACAAAAACATAGGGAACAATGCAGCAGATTTCTCTTCCTCTCTGCTTCATGAGTCTTTTCCTGTGATAGCTGCCTCCAGTTTTTGGCAGGGGGTGGGTCTGTAGCAGCCTACAACAAGCAGAGCCTGGTAGAAAGCCTTGGCATCCCTGGTCCTGTGAGGCTGGGTGGCAGCAGAGGTGGACGTGCCGTGCTCTGCATTGGCATGGAGGGTGAATGCTTCTCTGGTGCCTTTTCGTTGATGCAGAAACAATTTTTAGAAAGAGCTTTTTATTTTACTCAACTCCCAGTCCCAGAATTTGTTTTCAGGTGTTTCTCCTTACCTTTTTAACTGCTCAGCAGCTCCTGCAGAATCTGGGAAGCACTGGTTCAGGGTGCAAGTCTCCTAGCTTTGTTACCGTTTCTATTCTGAGCAGTTTGACTTGCAGGTGTTGAATTGCCTGTGACTTTCCAAGAGGGGGAGGCGGATTTGGGACGGGGAGGGGAACGGTTTGCCCTCTTTCTCTCTGCCTTTCCTGTTGCATCTCTCCAAAGAAGTGCAAAGCGGTTGCCCTCTCACACGTGCAAATGTGAAAACCAGCCTTTGACAAGTGGGCATTGCTGTTTCTCCCTGTGTTGTGGTCAGTGTGTTCTCCATGTTAGCAGCTAGAAACATTTATATACAGCAGTCCAAACCCGTCCTGTCCCAATCAGGCCTGTACTGCCCAACTCCTGCAAAATCAGAACTTGTACTCTTTTGTAAGAAGCTTTTACATGTATCCACCTTTTGCAGAAGGATGTGAGAGCTTGAGCTCCTTAAAATGAGAGGAAAAAGATAGGGGCTTGTGGTCTCACTTTGGACAGGGTCTTTTGGCATCTGTGAGGGGCATTTCATGTGCTACAGGAATTGAGCATAGGTAATGCTAGTCGTGGAGTTGCCTGGCTTCACGAAGATGGAAACTGGGGCCAGGAGAAACCTGTCTCCCAGCAAAGCCTGTTCCCAGTGATCATGGTCTGTAGCTGCAGACAAAAGTGCAGGGACCAGAAGATATTTCCCTCCCTCCCCTACTTTATTTGGGGAATAGCTGGTAGACACCCAGCTGCAATGGCCAGGAGCTTCTTGTCCTACTGGCAGGCAGAGGGTCCCTGGCTTCCCAGGGTTGGTGGTTGGAGGGGAGCTCATTGAGGGGAAGAGGTTGCCCTCAAGAGTGTCTTTGATTAGTGTAGAGGATGCTCTGGTGGCAGCAACTTCAGCTTCGAGCAGGTATCCTAGGTGTGCAGAAGAGCTCTTGGGTTCATATATGTTTTAATTGCCTACTCCCAAGTTTCCTAGCTTATCAGTGATCCTATTTTGGGAGGTGGATTGCCTCCTCCTGATTTTTGTCCTCTTCAGTGGCTCTCACACTGTCTTCCTAGTCATGTTTTTTCCCTGAAATACAGAAGCTCCATGCCTGTGGCAACCTCTGAGTTATTTTGCATTTCTCTGGGAATGCATGCAACATGTGGGAAGTTTTGTGCTTTAGTAAAATGGGAAACAAGGCCTTGGGAAAGCAGTGATGCTGAGGTGCCACTTGGTCGCTAACGGTGGTCTGAGCCCTGGGGGCTGGGCTGCAGGGAGTACTGGCTGGGCTGGGAGCTGCGAGACTACTGGGCTGAAACCCCAGTAGCAAATAGCATGATCCACGAAGGGTCCTAGCAAGGCTGATACTTTTCTGTCCGCTCCAGGGTGACGGATCTTTGCCCTGTTTTTTCTACACTGTTTATAAATTTGCTGCCCAACTCTCCCTACGACTTTTTTTACGTGTGTGTATATACTGTAACTTTTTTGTTTGTGGGTGGGAGGAAATTGTTTTATGGATTATGTGAAGAAAGTCTATTTATCCACATGGAGTTCAGAGTAGGGATGCTTTGTGATACAAGATGCAATTGGTGGTGGGGAGGTTCCCCAGGGAACATATCTGCTGTCTGAAAACCCTGTCCAGGGCTCCTGAGCATCTGTTACCTAATAAAGATGAACGTTACCACCACCTCCCACCTGCCCTCTTTCTCTTAGCCCTTTTCATCCCACCCAGCAGCTGCTCTTAAGCAGAGGTGAGCTTGAAATGTCCTTTAGAGACATAAAACCTTGCAGGCGCCTTGGGAAGCTGTCAGTCCTTTGTGTGGATAACCTGAAGAACGGAGCTGTACAGCTTGCAACAAAAGATGGTCCCTTGGTGGAGCAAGTGTGGTGTCTCCGTGCTCCTTTGGAAGCAACTCAAGAGGCTGATGGCTTGAGCGAAGCCAAGCAAGGTAAAGCTACGCCAGAAACCTGCAATTTTAGGAGCATCTCTATGGGACAAAAGCTGTTAGCTGACCTTGGTTTAGAATAATGTCCTTTCACTCCATCTCTTTGTTTCTCTGCTCCCCCTGGTCAAACTCTGTCAGAACCATTAAACTTCAGACAGAGATCTCTTTTTTGTGTAGCTGCTCGAAGGGTTTTGCAGTTGGGCTTGGAAGCTGTGTTCCCACCATGTCCCCCATCGTGGGGGGGTTCCCCGGGCCCTGTGGGAGTGGACTTTGCACTCTGCTGCCCCTGGGGAAGGTGGTGGGGTTTTGGGAGCAATGTGGAATTCCCCAGCCAATCCATACCAAGGCCATATGGTTTAATGTATTATTTATTGACAAGGTGGAGGCGGGGGCAGTGGGAAAGGGGAGGCTCGGGAGGGAAAGGGGCTGCTGGGGCTTTACTGGCAGCACCGGGCTGGTGCTTTGAGTCCATTGCTCTTCCCCGCCACCTGCTCACAGGAGCTGGGGGTGCCTGGCCACAGCAGGATGTGTTCCCAGTCTGTCCAGCACTGGTCCCTGTCCCTTGCACAGGGTACTGCTGTGCCAGTGTGCCCACAGCTCAGCCTTTTCATGGGGTGGGCTGAGAATGGCTGAAACTTGTTCCCCAGATGAGACCCCAATGCCTCCTCATTGGTGAAGTGCAGCTGGCAGTTCCCATCTCTGGAGGGGAGGAAGGACGGCACGTCTCCCCCTCTGGCCAGCCATTGCAGTTTACGTAGGTCCTAAGATGCCTTGCTCTGGTGGGCTGCCCCCCCGAGGGCAGCAACACCCAGCTGAGGGGGCAGCCCCAGCCTCTGGTAGTGCTGGTCGTCAGACGGTGACTTCAGTCTTGCTGTTGGTGGCGAGGTGCCGGGTGTGCTGGCCGTACAGGGGAGTGGAGGGGCCAAAGGTCTCGGGTGGCCCCTCAGGACGCAGGGTGGCCAGGCCCGGCCGGTGGGGGCCACGATGGGGGGCCCCCTCCCAGCCCCCTGGGAAGGCCAGGCTCCCTGGCAGCTTGGGGCCCTTGGCCTTGGGCAGGGGGCAGCCCTTGGACAGCACTGGTGTCTCGGTGGTTGTGAAGGGCAGTGTGCTGGCGGGGGGTGTCTCCAGCCCCCCGAATCGCCTGTAGAAGTCCTCGGAGGCGCTCTCTGTGGGGACAGGGGTGCGGTGTCACCCCCTGCAGGGACACCCACTTCTGCTGGTTTGGGGGGAACAAGGGATTGTGCAGTCGTGGGGAAGGCTGGGATGGGGCTGTGGGAGGGATCCTGGGTACTGATTGGCCAGGGAGGGGGGGGATCTTGTCAATGAACTGGCTAGGGAGTGCAGTGTGTCCATGCAGATCCTGAGGTCTGATGGGGTGGGCAGTGCTTCAAGTCTGTGTGGGATCCTGGGTACTGACTGGCTGGGAAGTGCACTGGATGCATGGGGGACCCCGGACACTGACTGACTGGGCAGCACAGCAGGCTGGTGGAACAATGGAGGAGCCACAGAGTTTCTGCTATGAGCAACCAGCCCGGGAGCCCTGGGAAACTGGGATGCTTGTCCTGTCCATGCTCCTCTGGGAACCCCATGCCCCTCCCCACTCGTCTTGCTGGGTTCCCCTGCCACCCTCCCATCCCACACGGCAGCGGCACTCACCTCCAACCTTGAGGGTGGTGTAGGAAGTGTAGTCTGAGGCTGACAGGGCCAGGCTGCTGGCCAGTGGCAGGCGCTTGCTGTGGCTGTGGGGCCGCCCCAGTGAGGGAGCAATGGCCACCGCGTTGTTCAAGGGCGGCTTGTCTGGAGGGGCAGAGGGAGGTGGGGGCTCAGCCTCAGGCTGTGCCCTCCCGCTGCCTTTATCCACCCAAGGGAACTTATTTTTCCCCACCACACCAGCACCTTACCTGTGCTGTTTCTGGGGGGGCCCCGGGCCAGCCCCTCGCCCAGTGGGACCTGCACACCCCCCATGAGGCTGTCCATGTTCTCAGAAGGGCTCTGGCCTGGCTGCTTCAGCAGATCTGTCAGTGTCCTGGGAAAGGGATGAAAGGGCTGTTAGGGCAATATCGTGTTCTCCCGGGCTCCCTAATGCATCCCAGCCCTGAACCGTGCTCTTTGGAGGCAGAGCTGGGCAGCCTGGGGCTAGGAAATGGCTGCTGGGAGCCAGGATGCACACAGGCTCCTAACCCTGCTTCTGCAGGTGGGCTAGTGAGCCCCACCTGAACAAGTAATTGGGATCAGGTTGGGGCTGAGCCCTCCAGAGCCAGGGTTGTCAGTGGGTGAGGGTGGTGAGGGAGATGCATGGCTCAGAGCAGGGTTCAAGGGTATGATGCACTGAGGCAGAGGAACCTGATATGATGGCAGCTGGAACAACACCTGGGGGCTGCTCCTCTCGAGTGAGAGCCTGGTGTAGGTGGGGAGAGGAGGCAACACCTCCGCTCGAGTCCCTTTGAAACAGAGAAGACTCTGCGGAAGGGATTAGCGAGGCCACTTGCACCCCTTCAGGGAAGGGGATGAACTAGTGGCAGCCTCTGGCGCAGGCGCTGTCTGTGCATAACGCCCTCCTTGTAAGTAACAGCATTAAACATTAAACACCATTACATAAGATAGAGCCCTATTTCGTTTAACATTCATGGACGGAGATGCTGCAGTCCCACCGCGGTGCGCCGGCAGTGCGAGAGCAAGGCATGCTGGCATTGGCAGAGTGGGGTACAGCAATGGTGCCAGAGTGGGGCACACCAGTGATTCCAGAGCAAGATACACCAGCAGAGACAGAGGGAGCACAGCAGCAGTTCCGGAGCAGGGCATACCCACCTGCCACTGCAGCCTTTGGCACCAAGTCCCAGGACAGGCTGGGATGCTTCTGCTGGTGTGGGACTTTGTAATGAGAAGACGTGCCATTGCCCCTGCCATGACCATCCCTGGGTGACTGCAAGAGTGGAGGGGTGTCCACTCGGGGCTTTTTTTGGATCCCTAATCCCCAGCTCACTGTCAGCGTGCCTCGCGCCTTGAAGCTCGTAGACACACACTGGGAGCTGTGGCAGGAGCTGACGGTTAGCAAGTGGTTGGATGATAAAACAGCAGATTAAACTCAACATGCATAAATGCAAATGGGAGAGGAAGCGGGGAATAATCCTGACTTGGTAGACGTGTCAGCTCATGGCACCGGAGTGCTCAAAAACCTAGCGAATGTGGTACAGGGAATTGCCAGGAAAGACAGTGAGAACAAGGGGGAAAACGATGTGTTGCGCCCAGGGGTGTGTATGCTTGTGGGGCCCCCCATTTTCCCTCCCAGTTTGACTCCAGTCAATATCACAGGGCGATGGCAAGAACAAAGCTACAAGGGAAGGTCACTTGCCCTTTGGGTTAATTTCACATCATTCTTGGGAACCTTTGGGTAGCAACCCCTCTAGGATCACCTAATCTCCAAATGGGCCAAGAGGACAGTCATGGAGCTGAACAGATTGAATGAGGGAGGAACGAACTCTGGCAGCTGACAGCTGGAAGGCAGCTTGATGGAAAAGGACCTGGGGATCCTGGTGAACACCAAGTTGACCATGAGCCTGCAGTCTGCCCTTGGGACAAAAGCGCTGAATGGTCTCCTGGGCTGCATTAGGCAACTTGTTGCCAGTAGGTCTGAGGAAGTTGATCCTTCCTCTCTGCTCAGCACTGGTGAGGCCACACCTGGAGTGCTGGCTCCAGCTTTGGGCTCCTAAGTACAGGATAAAGATGGACATAAGGGAGAGTCCAGGGAAGGGCCTCAGAGATGGGACCAGAGCATCTTTTATATGAGGAGAGGCTGAGAGAACTGGGACTGTTCAACCCAGAGAAGAGAAGGTTCTGGGGGATCTTAAGTGAGTAATCTTATCTGGGGGATAAGTGAGTAATCTGAAGGGAGGGTGCAACAAGGACAGTGCCAGGCTGACAAGAAGTGACAGGGGCAAAAGAAACACAGGAAATACTATTAAAACAGAAGAAACAATCTTTTGTCCTGCAAGAGTGGTTAAGCGCTTGAGCAGGCTGCCAGGGGAGGCTGTGCCACCTCCATCCTGCAGCTGTTCAAATTCTGCACCTCCCCAGGACCCCTCTTGCAGTGGACTGACCCAACTAGGGTCAAGGCCAGGCACAGAGAAACCCTGGGCACATGCCTGGGTGGGCAGGGGGGAGGTAGGTCCCCCAAGGCCATGGGTGTAGGCTGTCAACACAGGGAGCTGCCGCCCTGTCAGCTCCCACCTTCCCCGGGGTGCACTGCTCACTGGCCCCCTCCCCACTGGACGCTGCCTGGTCTTGCCTGTCCCCAGGGCCAGCACTCAAACAGGATTGTTTCAACGGGAAGTTCAATGCGATTTGACCTATTTTTTAAATTATTTTTTCTTTTCCTCGGGTCTATTTATGAAGCTTGAGCAATCCTTTATCTCTGACTTCCTCTCCAGATAAATCTGTCAGTGCTCTTTCCCATAAACCTGCCCTCAGTGCTGACCACCCAGGGCATGCAGATGATAACGATTAACAATAGCACGAGCAGCTCTTAATGAGCTACTCTGCCATGGTGAGAAATGTTCATGAGCCCTCAGTACCAGCAACACCCGGATTCACCCTGCCCTTGTACCACAAGTCATGCCATAGGCTATGGGTGCCAGTAGGTCTCTCTGGGGCTGCACCCCCTCCCTGGCCTGACCCCAGGTGTTGCAGTGCAGGGGAGGTGGACACAGAGAGCGACACTGTCCTGAGGATCTGCTGTCTCACCAAACAAGATTTTGGGGGTTTTATGAGCCTCAGTTGGCTCCTGTAGCTGGGGGGCTTGGGAAAGCTCAGGCCACATCTCCCTAGGTCACCCGGTGGTCTGTGGCACCAAAATGGCTCTGGGGTGCAGGTGGAAGAGGGGAAGGGAGAGCAGATGTGGCTTTAGACCTGCACTGCTTGTCTGTAAAAAGCACGAGTGAACAGTACCACTGATGCCTCCATCCACCACTGTAGCCACAGATGCAGAGTACATGAGGCCATGGGTGAGCGTCGCTGGCCACCCAGCTTGCCTGAGCACAGTGTCAACTTGGTGGGCGTGCAACCACCTCCATGGCAAGCCTAGTTCTGCCAATGAGTACAACAAAGATGCTCCAAACCATCTTGATGCGAGCCCTGAGACCAAGCACAAAGGCAGATCCAGGCGCAGTGAAGATGGAGGCTGAGAGAGCTCCATGGCAGGAGCAGTGGCATGCAGCACTCATTGCTCCTGAGCCATCCCCCAGGGGAGGTTCCCATGTGGGAGCAGGACCCAGGATCTGGCAGAATACCCCACTCCAGGGGCTGATCCACTTTTGGGAGGCCCAAGCCCCACACCTGGCAAGCCCAACAGGAGAGAGGCTGCAAGTCCCTGCAAGGGAATGGGGAGTGATGTGAGGAGACGAGCACAGCCTGCAGAAGAGAGGACAGATGGTGGAGCGATGGATGAAATGATGTTGTCCTGAGCTGGAGTGAACCCCTGGAAGGGACACAGAACGTGGCAGCCAGTGGATGAGCAGGGTGCTGAGGTTTGGAGCAGAGGTGCAGCGTTGCAGGAGACACACAGCACATCACAGCTGCGGGTGGGCTGGCATCCCGGCTGGCCACACCACTTCCGTGCCCAGTGAGAGCGTCATCCTCACCTTCTGAGGTGGGGATATTTCCCATGGCTTACAATGTGTCTGCTCAGGGCAAGAGGTGCCCATCTATGCAACTGAGCAGAGTGGACACCATGGGACACCTGCACAGTGGGGCTGTGACTCTTAGGATGCTCAGGAAGGCATAGGGGTAGCAAGGTGTCTTTGCAAATCTGGAGTTGCAGTGTGGGGTAATGGAGCTCGGGCAAAGAACTGGGTGATGGAAGTGAGCCTCCCTAGATATCATGTTCAGTCTAGGGACAGGGTTCCAGATCTCCCTCCCTGCTGAGCTGGATCCCCTCTGACCCCTCAAAGAACCAGGGCAGCACACCATGCTACCTGCAAACCCTTTTTCTAGTTCTTCACTACCTCATGCTACCATTGGCATTGACTGCAGGCATGGTCATGGACTTGAGCATTGCCAGAGAAATACCCAGTGCAGTTGATTGCACAGTGGGGCCAAGTTTGGTGAACCCCAAATAGCATGGGGAGACCTAGAGAGTGAAAAGCCAGCACTGCGTGCTCACCTACTGCAGCTGCCAGGGCATCTGCTCCTGACAGCTGTTTTGTCCCTCTCCAGAATTCTCACTACTCCCCAGGGGGCTGCTCTTTGCCCAACTCTTCCCATAGGGATGTCCACCCCAGCTATAATCTTGCAATTCCCCCCCCTAGGAGGGTTTTGGGAGAGGTGCAGGGCACGTGCCTGCTCTCATGCAACGGGCACAGACAAATCCTTGCAGCCCCCAAGGACCCAACGTCCCCGGAGATCCGGGGACTGAAGAAAAACACAGGCAGGTGTTCTTGACTCAACGCAGGGTTTGGCCAGGCTAAGCAAGTGCCGGGGAAGGATGCCAAGCGTGAGCTGAGCAGGAAGGAGAGGGGATTGCGGGAATTGCCATAAGGCCCTGCAGGAGGAAGGCGGATGAGGAGGGGAGGACAAATCAGGTAGTTGCAATCACTAGAGCACCCCCTTTCCTGGGTAGATCAGCACCCAAATCTGTGAAGAGAAGAGCTGTTGGAGGTGGCTAAGGCGTGAGGGTCTCAGGACAAGCTGGACACAGACTCAGGTGACTCCATGAGGGAGGAGCTAGTGGACTTTCTGCACCTGGTCACTCTTTGTGGATTTGGACCAAGACCAGAACCATGATAAACAACATCTGGAGGTGCAGAAGTGGTTGACCTTCCCCTCCAAGCGAGAAACCTGCAAGAAGCAGTGGTGGGAGCCACCCAGGGCAGCACACAGTGCTCCCCAGGAGCGGAAAAAACCCTGGTGGGAGGGAGGGATAGGAATGGAAACCAAGACGACCATGCAACAGGGAGCTGGCCCAAGGCCATGATGCGGTGCCCAAGGAGCAAATGAGAAGCTCCTACCTGAGGTGCCGGGAGAGAGGCGTGGTGGTACTGCCCACCCCTTGGGCCATGCGTGGGTACAAGGACAAGGCAGGTAGAAATAGCCCTGCTCTCTCAGAGGCACTGAGACAAAACGTATTGTGCCAGCTCCCCAGGCTCACAGTGGAATGGAGGTGACAGTGTCCCTTTTTTGGATGCCTGTGCCATATACCCAGCCTCTGGCACTGCCTGCATGAGACCAGCGTCAGGGAGGTCATGTCAGCCTGGTTCCTTGCCTGGTTCCTGGGGCTCTGCACCTGATGCACCACTCCTGCCCTGCCAGGGCTTGCCAGTCACCAGCCCTGTGGAGCCGAAGCCGCTCATGGCTTACACAGAAGGATACAGGTCATGGAAAATGGCAAGACCTCTCCTGACTCCAGGTGAAGGTGCCTTTCTGATTTTGTCCCACAAAGGTGGATGAGGAAAACTCGCCTTCTCCCAGCCTATATGCCAGTGTCCAAAAGATCTGTGGCTTCAGGGAGAACAGGCACGTATCTCCCTGAACTCATTGGGAAAATTCAGGCTTGCATGAGGAAGAGGGAGAGGGGACATGGGGAAACACACAGCTCCGACAGCACAGAATTGAGGCTAAACACAGAAAAACAGCCCACGGTGAGTGGCAGCAATTACACTGGTGTGTCTGCTGATGGGAGAAGGCAAGACCCAATGGCAAGGGATAAGGACCCAGGTCTGGGTGTCCCAGGGTCTGACCCCTCCCTAAGTGCAGTATCTCATTCCCGGGAGGTGGGGGGGACGACCAAAAAAAGACGCGGAGGCAGGCGAGTGGAAGGGGAGTCAGGAGGCTGGCGGAGGCCGTATTGATCCTGTCAAGGTGCCAGCGCTTCCTCAGGCAACATGGGGGGAGGCGCAGGCACGCAGCAGCACACAGCCAGGCTCCCTGCCAAGAAGGGGGTACAGCACGGATCCCCCCAAAACTGCCTCGTGTGTCTCAGGGGGGTTCTGTGACCCTCCTCCATTCCTCAATATGACCCTCCTCTGAGCAGGGGTGGCTAGCCTCTGCTGCCCCGGGTTGGTGGAGGAAGTAGGGTGGGTCTGGGGATGGGGTGCAGTGGGTTTGGATTCAGGGTGCAGTACCCAGCGGCTGCTCAAGTCCTAATCAGGCAGGGAAAGAAGTGTGCTCCAGGGGAAGGAGAGAGGCTGTCCATGCTGGGGGTTGCAACCAGGGTGGCTCCCTGATGATCCCAGTGATCATCATTTCCTCCAGTCCTGCTTTCTCTTTTTTTAAAAGCTAAAATCCCTTAACAAAATGGCATGAAGATGGGTTTCTGTCCAGACTCTATGTACTCACTGGGAAGGTGCAAAGTAGAGCCCCAAAACATGTATCAGGTAGGGAGAGAGGAAGATGCACCGATGGCCACAGCAGCAGGACAGGAGTTGGGAGAGACGCAGGGGGTTCCCAGTGCCAAAATGTGCCTGACACCCTGACCTTCCCCCTGCCAGCCCTGTGCTCAGCCCCAGGAGTAGGCTGAAAAACCAGGGGCTGGAGCCACAGGGTATGGGGTCCAGGAAGAGACTGCCCAACTTTCTGCTGGAGGGTGAGCTCCAAGGAGTGTGGACTCCCCCCCACAAGGGTGATGTCCCACCCTGGTGCCCAGAGGCAGGCAGCAGGGCACACCCATGCACACACACGAGCTGGCGCAGCAGCCACAGTGGAGCTGTCTTTGCCACCTCCTCTCCCCCTGCACTGCCAGTGAGGCTGAGACCAAGGGGACTGCAGTCCAGAGTCACCCCATACATATTCAGACCATAGTCTCACCTTCCATGGGCATTGGAAACCACAGATTTGTTTGGGGGGGAAAGTTACATCCTGTAGTTCTCATGTCACTCACCCCACTGGCTGGTGGGTTGGCACTCCTGAGTCAGGGACATGCCTCCTCAAGAGATGAAGCAGGTCATTTTGGGAGGGGATGGGTGTACGACCATCCCTACTTGTGGAGGCTGTCCTGGCTGGCAGCCCTCCCTGCAAGGACAGGTTGGGGAGCTGCAGCCAACCCACCCCCTGGTGCCTCAGCATGCTGGGACAGGGGTTTTGGGGATCACCTCACTCTCTTGGCAGTCCTAAGGTGAAGCCAGGGCTCACGCTACGCAATGGGCTGGGAACATGAGCTGACACCCATGGGGAGACCGAGTGGGGTGGGTGGGGGTACCGGACCCCTTTACCTGGAGACGGTCATCTCTGTCTGGGGACCCTGTGCCTTCTCCAGGCCCAGCTTGGTGAAGATGCCCACCAGCACCATGATGGCCACCACACCACAGATGATGTAGACGATCATGTTGGTCCTGTCACGAGTGGGGTCCTGGGGGGTCTCGTCCACCCGGGCAGGTGGCTGGCCCGTGTTGACCCAGTTGGGGGTGTCGTAGTTGGAGCAGCCACTCTGGTCCAGCCGCCCGGGCTTGAACTGACAGCAGAAGCGGTACCCGCAGGTCCCGCAGCAGTACTGGTAGATGCCGGCGTTGCAGTTGAACGGCGGGTCCCACTGCCCCATCACGTCGTAGTACCCCCGGCAGCGGTCCCCCCCCGGTGGTGCCGCTCCGGTGGGCGCGGGGGCCGTGGTCTCCGGCGGCGGTGCCTGGCTGCTGTTCCCGCTCTCCCCGGGCCCCCCGGTGCTGGGCTCGCCGCTCCACACCCGACCCGGCTCCAGCAGCACCAGGCAGCAGATACCCACGACGTAGCTCGGCTCCATCCGCCCGCGGGTCCGGGGGGCCATCCGGGCGAGGTGGCGAGTTAGAGCCGCTCGCCCGGGACCGGCCGCATGGCCGCCGAACAGTCCCGGTGGAGGAGAAGCGGGCTGGGGAGGAGGGGGGGCGTAATGGAGGGAAGGCAAAAAAGGGTGGAAAAAACGAAGTGGAGGGGGGGGGGGGGAAAGTGCGAGGGGACGCACCCCCTCCCCGTCTCTCCCCAGATCGGCCGACGAGCAGAAATTCAGAGCAGGGGGCGAGGCGGGCGGCATGGGAGAGCCGCCACCTCCCGCCGGCCGGGGAGGGGACGCGGTGGCGGGCGGCGGGAGCGGCCGGGCGGGCCGGGCGCCGGCGGCCACCCCATCCCCGCGCCTCTGCCCGCGCCTCCCGGCACCGCGGTCCGCCGAGGAGACAGGAAGGAGAGAGAAGAGAGAAGCAGCGAAAGCCCTTCGCACCAGGGCGGGAGGAGCAGGAGGAGGAGGAGAAGGAGGAGGAGTGCGGGGGAGAGAGGGAGGGAGCCGGCGCGGCCAGCGAGGCGCGGGGGGCTCGGCTCCCCCGCCGCCTGACAGCCTCCCGAGGAAACCGGAGAAGGTCCTTCACCGAGTCCTCTGCCAGGCTCCCCGCCGCCACCGGGCGGCAGGACACCCGCCCTCCCCGTCGGGCAGCCGCCGCGGGCGGTCGGGCACGCGTGGCACCCGTCCCACGCTGCCCATCTGCCCCTGAGCACCCCCTACCCCTGCCGCCGGACCCCCACTCGCCTGGGCGGGGACTGCGAGGCCGCAGGCTGGCACTTCGGGGTGCAGCAGGGGTATGTGCTGGGTGACAGAGTCCCCAGGGTGATGGAGTGCTCTCTTGCAGCCCCCCAGCTAGGGGATACCCAGGGAAGGGGGGAAAGCAGCGGCCCCAGTCCCTTGTGAACATCAGAGCATCTCCCAGGGGGAGCTGTGCACAGGGGGGCTGCAGGATGAGCGATACGGGGGGCTACTGGGGTACTCTTAAGAACTCGTCCTCCCCAGAGCTGCAATGATTTTTAGCCAGCCACTAGCTGGCCCCATGTTTGGGCTTCAAAGTCCAGACCTCTCTGAGTGATGTGCAGCCACCGCTCCGGTCTCTGGTGGGGGCCACACATGAAGGTGGTATTCATCCTCACTGCCAGAGCTCCTCTCCCCAGAAGGACAGGATTTGCTTTTCCTGCTCTGGGACCGTTCCAGCAAGAGCAGAGAGGAGGAAACTGAGGTGCCTTCGGGCCCCTTGCCCAGCACGATCGTTGTACAGCCTGAACAAGGGTGGCTGGGACAAAGGGTAGTGTAACATATGAGAGCTGTCTCCGGACAGTCATGAATCCTGCACCAGGGAATGGTAGCAAATCCAACATCGCCACTGTCTTCTTGGGCATATAATTCCCTCCATGTTTAGTAAGAGAGAAGCTGAACACTGCCTTATCCTTTCTTGCCGTGTCGGAACTCTAACCTGAAGAATGGGGTTGCCTTAGTGCTGCACAGTGCCAGCACAGGAGCCCCCCGGCAAGGGGTGATACAAAAAGACATTGTAATGGTGGAGGTGGGATTAAACAACAGTGAAACCCCACGGATCAGCCTGTTCCGAGGACCCATGCCTTACCTGCCACACCACAAGTGGCAGGCTGAGAGTCTCTCACGGGATGAAACACTCCGATGTCATCCTGCCTGTGCATGATGGCGGTGCAATGTTTCGGGTGGGAGCTTTGCACGAACTGCTTCTCCCCACAGCAATGTTGAAACACTGGTGTGCTTTGCTGGGAGACGGATTTAGGGAATAAAATATCCTTTCCCCAGTCATCAAGCCTGAGTCCTACAGACCCCCGGCCGCTTTCCATCTGGAGGCTGGCAAAAGTCAAAGACATTGAAAACGTGGATGGGGGGAGCAGCTGGAGCCCGGGACATGTCCGATCGGCCCCCAGTGCCGCAATCTAATAGAGATCCATTAAGTAAGGTAGCTCGTAGCCTCCAGAGCTTCCTGAAAGAGATAAAAAGCTAGTGAGGCGGAAGAAAACTGCACTCCTCCAAAAGCCACAATTTCCCTGGATCTTGGAGGGGCTCCCTGACGAAAGGCCCCATCGGCTGGAAGTTGCAGACATGGGGGTCGTTAGCACTAATAGCCAACATCAGCATCGGCCTTGAGAGAAGCTGCGCAAGCAAAGTTTGCTGCTGCCCAGGTAATGCCAGCAATCGTTTCCCAGGCACCGGGTGATTGCTCCCGACGTGTGTGCGAGCAGAGCCGCCCCGGGGGCTCCGAGGGTTTAACAGGCTGTTAACAGGCAGAGCGAAAAACTGGCCAAAATCGGGGAGTTTGCTGGAAAATGGTTGCCTGGCGTGACCTGGGAGAAACGGTACGGTTTTAAGGGATGGGGGAGGATGTTTATTGAGTGTGAAGGAGCCGATTTAAAGGGTCTCTGAGAGCGAGGAGAGAGGAGCGATCTGCGTGCACCAGCCCAGAAGGAAACCAAACCCAAGGGCATGGTGCGGAGGAGCACCCCCCCGGCACGTCCCCTGCGCGCAGGGCCGGCAGGGGCTGGCTCCGTGCAGTGCTGGCACCAGGGGCTGCAGCCTGCAGCCCTGCTGAGCCGTCAGCTCATCTTTGTCAAATAAGTGACACAGCCACTAGCTGCATCCCCAAAGGGAGGGGGGCTGTGCGAGGGAAATCCTGTAGCCCGGCACCTACACTCTCGCGTCCCTGGGAATCAGCGGCAGGACCCGCAGGAAAATTCAGGTCAGCAGGAACCTCCGGAGAAAAAGCAGAGGACGTGCTTGCAACATCTGCGGGCACTTCTAGGAATGGCAATTTGGGAGAAGAACTCCGTTAGGCTTTGACCACCAACCCTGGAGGATGTCACGGAAATATTCCCTGTAAAGACAATGCCACCCGGACTACAGAAGGGTGTCTCTGTGCTTGCAGAAATAGGATAAGGGCGGTTCAACACCGAGTGGGGAGGGATACACCGAGCGCTGACACTGTAAACAGATTGTTTCTGGCAGGGCACGGTGATCTGGAGAAGATCCTCTCTGTCACAGCCAGAGAGCCCGACAGACCCAGATCCCTGCTGATCATGGGGGTGCAAGCCTGGCAGAGCTGCCAGGCTCTTGCCCGAGGAGGAGGAGGGAGCCATTACCATCACCAATGTGAAGCAAAGCCATGGGAACCTCCCTGAATGTGGGAGATTTTAGGATGAAGTCAACTTCTGAGGAAAGCCATCAGAGAGTGTTTAAAACCCCAAAGCTACCCAGAGAGCCCCTCCTAGGGAACTAGGGACATTTTCCCCAAAAAGTGATTTTTACCATGCAGGACTGAGCTGGTACCTGGGCTGAGGGGTGAACAGAGGAAAGGATGCTCCTGTGGGGTGGATGCTCCACACCAAAGGGCCGTGCTGGGATAGAAGGGGCCCGGCACCTCCTGCTCGTGTGCTAAGGAACGCTGCCAGAGTGGGTTTTGCTGCTTGCAGATCAGCAGCTAACACCCGACATCAACCGGGAAGAGCTGAAGGCGAAAGAAGGCTGTCAGGAAAGGCTTCCAGCACACACTGTGATGCTGTCCCCTGCCTGAAGGCAAAGGAGAGGCAGAGCTTCTGCCACTGTCCCTGGGGGTATATGGGGTGCTGGTATCCCCTGCACCTCCCATCATCCCCCAGGATACACCAGAGAAACCTGTTCCCCTCCAAAACTTCAGCTACTGAAGCTGATTATGTTCCAGCCACGGCTAGAACTGGGGAAAAGTCTCTTGCATTTGTCCGGGAAATTTCTTTGGTCATCAGTATGCAGCTGGAAGTTCTGAGTTTTCTCCAACCCATTGTCTAGGACTGGGATAAGGAATCTCTGGGGTCAAGTGCTGGGCTAACATGGGCTAACATGCTGTTCTCCTCCACTTATTGTCATGGGCTCAACAGATTAGGGAACCCAAAGGAGATCTTGGGCTACTGGTGTCAAAAACCTAAACCAGGGGGAAGTTGAATGCACTAGGGGAGGCAAAGGGATGTGGTGGCTGAGCCCAGAGCAGTTTCCATCCACCCTATTTCCAGCCCTGTGTGCACAAGGGTTTTATTCCCCTGCCTGTGCTTGATGGTCTGGCTGTAAAACAGCTGTAAAAGAACAACTGTGCCTCATAGCAGCTTATAGAGAACGCAGAAGCATATGTCCCTTTACCATTACCATCATAATTGCAAACATTCAAAAGTTGAGATTTGCAGGCTTCCAGCTTCCAAAGGCGGATGGATTCGAATCCAAATGACATCCAGAGGAATCAGGAGAAAATCAGCTCAAAGCAAGGGCTTATTTTTAATTTATGCCGCAGTATGGGCAAGCAGGATCCAGGCTGGCAGCCTGAGCTCCCTCAGCTGCCATTCTTAGAGGGCAGCCATGCCCCTAGATGCAGCCGTAGAGGCCCACAAGCATCAGCTGTGACACCCAGGCTGGCTGCGTATGGACTTTGCAATTAAGATTAAGCCTGGAGACAGTACTGGCAAAATGATCCTCCTGTGCAGGCACTCAGATCACTGGCCCAGGATTTTGCCAGCATAGTGTAGAGACTGTTTTGTGGATGGGTATAGGGTCTTTGCAGCCCTCTTTAAAATCATCTGAGATTCAGGGCAGCCAGCAGGACATTGGACCCAAAACTGTCCCCTCACCGGTGCCTGGAGGCAGAGCGGGAGCAGCCAGCCTCAAATCTCCCTTCCACAATGGGCTTGTGCAGCTCATCCTTGACACTATCCTGGGTAGAGCCTGAGAATCCTCTGCTTTCTTGTTTAAAGCAAATTTCCACTAGTTTTTCAAGCATTAAAAGGCCCTATAAACACTTCGAGGCAGTGATGCACAGCCCAGTTTACCCAGCACTGTGGTGGCTTCCTTGGTTATGTTACCCCTCCCCACCCCCTCTGCTCTCAACCCCTCATGCAAGGAGCTGATTCAAACTGCAATCATTTAGGGCAAAACACACCCACAGAGAGAAGGGATGAGAGCAGCCGTCCCCGTGTGGGAAGTCTCTAGGACTGGGGCAATCAGATGTGTGTGAAGGGGAGGTCTGCCAGAGCAAATGGGAGGCAACGGGGTCAGCCCTGGGCTGCTTTTGCCCTCTGTGGAGCCCTAAAAAACAGACTGTGGCAGCAAAAGGAACACAACGCTTTCCCCCCATGCTTGATTACCTGAGATGGTGGTGGTGGCAGTGAGCTGTTGGTGTTTGCTGGGATGGGGGATTTAGGGCGCCTGTTCCGGCGGCTGAGGCAGGGTCTGCAGGAGAAGGCCATATGGCCAGGAGCAGCGTGCTGCGTGCTGTCCCGGTGTCAGA